ACTTAAAACTTATATTTACGAACATAAAATCATTAACACACATTTTGTTTATTCAAATTATCCAGTGCATACTTTCATAATTTGTCATTTAGTACAAAGTTACAACCTTTACTCCCCACAATGATCAATGATAAGTGGATTACCAAGCCCTCGTGTCAAGACGTATTTGAATATGGTTTTGTACTTTCAACACAAAGTTTAGCAGAAATTATTTTTTTTTTTTAGAAATTCAGTTGTGGCTTTAAGAAATATTTAATCAACGTTATCTATCTAGGAGTGTGGTTTTGGTAGAGAAAGTTATCCAGACCTAATTATTGATAATTACTGCATTAAAGAAATAATATAACAATTTTCATACCATTATATAGTGTTAAATAAAGCATAAAATTACCATTAATCTGTAATGGGTAATAAATTAACGTATCTTCCGTATTATTTATACGGCGATAAGATAAATTACTCTATCATATCTTGATAAAACAAACTTTAAACACATTTCCTCATCTTAATTCGTTCGATACCTTCATAATAAATCATAATGTCAAATGGCCAGCCGAAATTTTAGAACACTATTTAGCTTTAAAAGTGGAAAAAGAAGAATTATTTGGGTTGGAATAAAATGATTTTTTTTTTAAATTATTTTTGGAATTCAAACTGTGGAATATGTCAACCTTTTATGTAAATTGAAAGACTCATAATACCCTTTTCACTAATATTATGTATAACCTCTTAAAAAAATAAAAACTGATTTGCTATTAGTTTTAGTTTTAGGCTCCATGCCGACCAGATGTTTAAGCGGATAAAAACAACACCAATAATAGCCGTTAGCTAATAAAGTAATTAAGCTTTATCGAAATGAAATGCATTTTAAAAACACATTTTTACCAAAAGTAACACAATATAGCCCTAGTATTAAGAAAGAAGACATTGTTAGTTTCATAATGGAACACATCGAACCTTCGTGCAGAAACACAGCTTTTATTTCTTAAACAATAGCTGAAAATAGATCAACGGATTTCGCAATTTATAAGATTGGAAGATAAATGGAAGCATAACTTCATTGAATATGAACACAAGGGAAAAGTCTGGGCAAAATAGAATAAAATAGATTATTAGATTATATATGAGTAATATAATAAAGGAATAAAGAGGGTCATAAAACGACACTTTAATTACCTCCAACATCTTAATTATTAAATTACACAGGTCTGTATTCTCTTAATTCTCTCTTTTCTCTCATTTAACCTGATTTATTTCCAACAGTTCTCTCTACTAATTTTATTAGTCTACGTATGCAAGCCTCTGATTTTATTTTCAGTTCTACATCACAGTTTTGACGACTTACAGCTTACCTAATTCAATAAAGTCGTTTAGCCAAAGCGGTAGAAAAGCTTATAATTAGCAATAGAATAAAGACAATGACGATAATTGAATTATATTAGAGTTAGAAATTGCAACGTGGTTTTCTTCAAAACTCACTTATCGTTTAAATTTGTCATTAATTTTGTTATCTAAATTATAATTCATCTTTAATGAAACGAAAACGATTGAATTGGAGACGAGAAACAAAACAAGAATTTTCAAATTCTATTATAAACTGATTATCTAAAACAATTTAAAAATCTTCGTTAAATTTCAACACAATTTGTCGATTTGAATGGCTCTGGTATTTAAATGATGTTCGTGATAATATGTGATGTTCCAGAATGCCTTCTGAAGATTTAAGGAGACATGCCAGACATTTTTTAAATATTTTATCTTTTTAACTTATATTATATTTTAGTTCGTACAATAAATACATCTGACTAAGCATTTCGAATATATACAAAGTATAAATATAGACACGATCACTGAGGGTACAGGCAATGCCCAAGATACAAGACCCCGGTGCTACCTCTGGCCCATTGTTAGCCCTTGTTAGCTGTTGGCAGCAGTATAATTGTTAGCCTTTGTTAGCTGCTGTAAGCAGTGGATTATTATTAACATGATAGCCTTTGTTAGCTGTTCGTAGCAGCTAACATTTACCTCTGGAGGCGGAAAGGCGCCTTTGTTATGTTATAACTATAAGCAGTAATAGCCACTAACAACTTCTTGAAAGAATCAACTAATAAAAGGCGAATCGGGTGACTGAGGAATACTGCCTACTGACGGACAATTTCTAGTAACAACTTACAACCCATGCAGAGATGAAATCAGACTTGAAAGGTAATTACGATCTTTCTAATTAATGTCCTACTGACATTTCATCATTTTGACGCTAAAAATATCGAAAAGGGGCTCAACTATATGTCTCAACAGTTCAATCATCACCACAAAAAAAATACATTAAAATTTAAAAGGGACGAAAGACCTCTTGAACGTCATCGAGTTAGGTCAAAATGTAAATTTGACGTAAGAACCAAACTGAAGTGAGTGTATTAAAATAAAAGCTAAAAAAGGAACGAAAGTTTGGTCTCATTTTAATTAGACTGCAATTGATCTTGACTTTGTCAATCATGACCCAAGCACCTGCGAACTAAAAGAGCAGCCAATCTTTGCAAGGTGTAGACACTTTAAGTTTGAAACAGTAATTCGTTGTACTTCAGATGGCCTGGCATCTGCAGTATCACTCTGCTGTATCAGTTGAAAGTTTCACATGTTCAGGTCAGTATGAAAATTTTTTCAAATTTGATTCTCAAAGATTAACACTATTATGTAGCGAATTACCACGCAGGTTGATTTCCGGAAAATACAACAATACGTCTTGGTGTATAAAAACTAAACTCTACTTTCTGGTAATCATTTACAGTAATACGGGCACAAGGTATTATGGTAACAATAATAGGGGTACACGGTATTTTGGTCATAGAAAGGACAGCTTCTTACTTTGGATTTCATTACGGTGGGTTCGTTTTGCCGCATTGCCTAACAAGCCGCATCGTGCCCAACTGCACAAAAACGACTTGTAAAACGAAACTAAAGGTTTCTGATAAAATCCGGAATGGCCAGTTGTTTCACATGAAACGGAATATTTTAATCTGTTTTATTTATAATTTGGACTTGTTAAGGAAATCGAAACTATAGTTAAAAATGGTAAAATCTGGAATAAAATAATTACTTTTCTGAACCATGTGGGCTAATGAAGACGGGCAACGCCATGCAGGGTGCGATGAAGGAAATTTTGCCAGGACAGCGGCATTAGCCTGCTCTTTTTCGATTTCCAACTGTCGAGGGATCTTTAACGTACACAGCCTGTAGCCTGTATTGTCCCATCCGAGCGACTAGACGCTTTTTCCATGTCAGCTCCTCTAACCTGCATCACTGATAGGGAGAAACCGGGTTGAAAAATCCGAAGGTATTATCTCGACCTATATCGGGATTGAACCCTGGATCTTCAGGTTAAAAATGAAATGAAATGAATGGAGTTTTACGTCCTACTTTTCTGCTGGACCTTCAGGTTAGCGAGCAAGCGTCTAACTCGCTGAGCCACCGCGGCTCCCACACAAACAATCAGAACCGTAATACAAAATACATAAATCCATAAAACGAAAGAAGACAAGTTCAATAAATAAAATATTTGTCGTAACTTGCAAGAGTTATGTCCCTCTACTGCGTGCCTATAACATCACCCACGTTCTAGAAAATATGGCCACTGAAATGTCTGAAAGTAAAAATCTTCTGAATAGTAAATCAGAATTATCAAGCGAGAAGTTTAGAATTCTCGTATTAGATTTGCCCTATAATTCGGCAGTGGCTCAACCCCCAATGGTTCCAGATAAGTCCCAGAATGTCCTGGTGGCAGTTAAAGACAAAATTAGACCAACCTGCGATTGTTTAGAAAAAATGACAGTTCAGACATCGGATGGATCCACAGGAAAATAGGTATTGCAGAATCTAAAACCGTGAGCGGTGAGGTTATATTTTATAAACTCAGTATTGTCACCATAATAGCGAAAAGTATAACTCTGTAAAAAGGCACAGTACGAAAGTCTTGAAACTATATTTTTGATTTCCCTAACAGGTCCAAATTATTAATAAAAAGAAAATCGACGCGGGACAACAGATTGAAATATTTCGTTTCATGTGAAACAAATGGCCATTCCGGATTTTATCAGAAACCTTTAGTTTCGTTTGACAAGTCGTTTTTGTGCAGTTGGGCACGATGCGGCAAGTTGGGCAATGCGGCAAAACGAACCCACCGATTTCATTACTACAAACTGTAAAAACAAAATCTTTCTGTTGAACTTTGCTCTTGTTGATAATGATCAAAATGATAATCTCGGTAGTTTTATATTTTTCATACAATATTTATAATATTTCTGTTCTTTTTGTCGTCTTGTATAATGTTGTTTATGTATTTAGTGGATCCCGTGGAAAATTAGACTTTTGTCAAAATGGCTATCCAAAATAAATTATTATTTTATTATTATTCTAATGCTGTAACAATTTTACTCGGCCAAAAAAAGAAATTTGTTGGTATTATTCATCAGAGGACTATTATGTATAGGAATTATAATTCATTCATTCTTCTTCACTTGTATTTCATTTTATGCTGACATCTATCAATTCTAGAAGCGAATTACATGACCGATAGGCTCAAGAGAATCTTTTGAGTCCTTTAAAGGTGATATGGATCTCTCCGATGGTTCTTGAGAACACTTTTCAACAGAACTATCCCATAATTCATCATGTTTGATTTTTACCATATGTTTCCTTGGCAACGTAGTTTTCACACAAGCAAAGCCCCAAACTGGAAGTGCTAGAGTCTCATTCCATGTCGTCATGCACAAGTGCTCCAAATCCATTTGAATAATGTCATCGAATACGTCATGTCCGTATTTTCCACCCAATACTAGCAGGTTCCCTTCATGCATCGTGACACCAAACATAGCGCGTGTGAAATGCGGAATGGTTGCTATGTGTTGAAATGTTGTATAATCATCTGATTGCAGAAGTTTTCCAGTAGGGCAAACGATAGTTACCACGCTATCTTGAACCACTGACCTAGTTAAACCGCATGGAATCGGAAGTCGTCCGATATTTATGGATGAATTAGTAGCCGGATCATAAATTTGAATCGTTTGTGTTGAGTGGTGCCTGTCTTTATAACCACCGAATAGAAATATTTTACCGTCGTGAACAGCACATGACATACCCCAAACAGCTTCATTCAAATTGCCACATTTCTTCCAATCATTTCCTTTCATATCATATTCTTCTACACTCGTCGTAACCCGAAGATGTCCATCATCTGATTGACCAATAACACCACCTAATATAAAAAGTGAAGATCCGAATCCAACCATTGCATGGCCCCTTTTACCAACTAACATTGGTGCACAGATATGCCAGGTATTCACACAACTTTCATATAGAGTTAAACCTTGTCTGGACCCTCCTCCACCAGAAATATAGATATCATTACCACAAACACAGGCTGTGGTCCCAGAATCATAGCCATAAGGCAACGGAGCTAATGGGAACCATTTTCTTAGTGACATATTGAAGCCTGATACATTCTGTCGTAGATGGTTTTTGGCACCACCGGAAGCAGTTCCTCCAAGAATAACGATTACGTCATCCATTCTGGCATCGTTTCTATATTCTAGTCGAGGCAGATTGACTTCATGACGTCTGCCAGGATCTTGGTGAATAGTTTTAGCCTCATCAATAATATCTTTACAATCGACATTTTCCTTCACCAATTCATTATTACCTAATACGTATTTCATATAATGTTGTTGAACATGGGGTAATCGGATGTGTTTAAAGATGTCTGCTAGAGCAGATTTTCGCAACTTTGGATCTGAGTTCGCCCATGACAGAACAGCATCACAAACTACATCTTCGTTCGGCACACGTAAATCATTGTCTTGTATTAAGGAAATCACATCAGATGCTGATAGAGCTTTAAAAGCTGTGGTCTGATAAAGCGTTATAAAGTTATTCAAAATCGCGGACCTAGATTTCGATTCTAATTTTAATGCTTTTGTTTCCGTCGCTAGTTTCATCATTTTTAAACAATTGTTCATCCCGACAGAATCTGATAGAAATGTGTCACATTTATCCCGAAGTGATTTGATTCCAAACAAAGAAGCTGTCTTTAAAAGTTCTTCTGAATTTTTAGCTGTCAGTTTGCAACTTCCTGTGTAGATGAAGTCTAAAACCTGGTGTACGATTTTCACAGAGGCAGCATTAACAAATAGTTTCTCTGTCACAGACTCTCTTTGACCGTTAAAAAGCCTTCCATGAAAATATGGAGATATAGCAGCTAGAACAAAACGGTGACATCGAAGGTACTTCCCATCAACCACTAGTACCAGGTCTGTGAACAGACGTTTCCGCCACAGCTCAGATATGCCGGAAGTGATTTCCAATCGATGGCTGCCATTAGCTACGTCGTTTGTTTCCATGCTCGATAACATTAATCTGTTTCAATTTTCCTGCAAAACGAAAGAAATGAGTTGATAATTGTGGACGATTTAATAATACATATAATGTATGTTATATTTAGTTTTCTGTATACTCAGACTTAATCTGAGGACACATGTTATCGATTCTTTATTCAAACTGACAACTGAATATGTTTTATACTTCGATAAGTTTGTGGTGAACCAATTCGATATCCAAACTAATATTTCTTATGGTTTGATATAATTAATGCTCCGATATATGTTGTTTACTACTGCTTTCGTTGTTTTATGCTTAGAATACACTGCAATGATAATTTGCGAAGTATACGTAAATATATATAGTTAAAAGGTGGTAGATTATCTTCTCTATTTCAAATATTTGAGAGTCAAATAGAAGTGTGAACTCTCAGCATGTGAATGTGATATTAGATTGTACTTATTTCTATTGTCATTCATTTGCAGGAAGGTCAAGTGTTCGGTTTTTTAGGAAACTTGATGATATCGGATATTGATGTGCATGTCAATTCAAGTGCTCAAGCATTAAGGTTTAAGTACTTTTTTGAGATAGTCATGCTCATTTCTCTCACCCTTTTAAAGTAACTGAAAGTGACATCACATTCAGTGAAGGCTTGTTGGGATTACGTGATTTCAATCATAAAATAGATCAAATTTGTAATTAAAATTATTCAAAACAAAATTAAATTGGTTTTAAAGTAATGGTAAAATTATTGTTAGATTTTAATTAAAAATATATTTCTGATTTTGAAAGAAGAAGTGAACATTTTGAATAATTGTCCATATACGGAATTTCCAACAGGTATGCAAAGATCCTCAATGAAAGAACTGTGAATCATTTTGTCCTTATTCAACACTTTATTAAAGGGAGTTAATTGTGTATATTACTCGCGTGAACGTCAATGTTGGGATTATTTAATTAATAATGTACCACCAGGCTATTTGTGAATTTATTTATCACACAATAGGCCTACCTTGATCTCTCGACGCGTCACGCGTCTTAAGACCAGTCTTAAGATTTCCGGCTGATGCAAGTAGAAATTTAATAAGCCTATCAATACCGAAATTTTGAAGACACAACTTTTAAGTCGATAATATCAACAAAGGAACATCATCCTTACACAGCATATGCTTATTATAGTGGTTTGAAAGGTAGGCTACTAGTAAGCCCTTAAAATAGTGTTGGCTTACAAAATCCGCTTTAATTAATGGTGCGGGCTCACGAACAGTCTTGGTCGCCGATCTTTGTCGCTGACATGAATCTTGAGTAAAATCTAGCGTGTGCCCCCACTTTCAAGACAAGATTATCATGTTGCAGACAGAATTTTAAATACTGCTTGTTTTCGTGCAATGTAAGCAAAACATGCATATATTAGGCCAATATTCCAAGAAAATAATTGCCAAAAAAAAAAGTCCAATCTTACCTTACAGAGGTGTGGTCAACTTCGTAAAACTCAAAACCTAAGGAGTAACTAGGTCTGTATTAATGTACATATTTGATTTTGAAAATAAGAAGGGATTACCTAGTCTACCCCTAGTAACCAGAGCTAATCCAACAAGTGATTATCCCGGTGTTAATTGTTCTGAAAAATAATCCTGTAGACCGTCTATGACTATCATTATCGTAGGGGAGGGTAATGGAGTCATCTACCTAGGTTTAAGTTATTTCTGTTTTCCATTGTTCTTTGTCAATGCCCTGTCGGTCCCCAGTCACATTTTAAAAAACAGATTAATTTGTAAATAGGCCCAGGCCTACAGTATCGTCCTTGTAAGCCTACGTCACTAGTAGTAGGGTCAAACGGTGAAAAAATCATGCACTTGGTGAAGAAATCACCAAATTTTATATGTTTGTTGAGAATGGTCATCTGTCCAATATCAGAGGTGGACCCACAAAATATCTCTCAAAACGACCCAAAAAACCAAGATGGCCGCCATAAAAAAACTGTAGCCTAACATTGATTTCTGACTAGAACTGAAGCCTGGTTTCCGAACATTTCGACTTATTCTTGTCGGAGATGCAAGATGCGGAGTAGGCCTACTAAGGCATATAGTCGAATTTCATAATAAATAATAATTTCGAATAAATAATCCCTTAACCACTGACTGAAATTTAGAATTTTGAACAACTAGACTAATATGTACCATGCAGTTTGCACATTTCCTCCTTTGAACTCACTTGAAAATAAATATGCCCATATTATGTCTTTTTCTTATGGCAAACTGGACTTTATGTTCTTAATCAGTCAAATGAGGTGCAGTGCAAAAAAATTTAGTGAGATATATAGTGCAGCTTTTAAATAGGCTTTTCTAAACAATATAGGGGATTTAATTAGTCAGTGCTATTTTTAGAAATCCCTTTTCCCTTCCTTTTGGGGGATTTGCATGCCTATTATTGACTACTATTTCGTCTAGATTTTGAATTTGATGTCTGAAATTGCATTTTCTTTCAAATATTGCGAGATGATAGGAGATTTTCATGCGGAAGGATAATTCGGCTTGTTCAAGATTTTCATAGAATTCTTGTCCAGAAACTTAGCATTGGCCAGGCTTTCATGTGACACATTGGAAAGTTTTCAACGAGATTTCTGGAGAAAGTTATAGAAGGTTGAATTTTGAGATTTAACATGGAAACAAATGGCAAATGAATTACCGGAGTGTATCCTAATGTGAATATCAGAGCCGTATATACGGCTCTGGTGAATATAAGATATAATTTGTTGTAGTCTGAAGCATTCATGAGTTACATTCCTTGACCGGAAATTATACGATTTCGCGGGAAATTATTGTAAACAATAACAAAAAATGTTGGTAATGTACAATTTTCTGAACGCGTTCAAAGTGCCTTTGACCTTTTTTTGATACCTTTTCTTTGGAAGTCATTATCGGTACATGGCATTTAAAATTGATGATCAGTGTAATTAGCAAAATGTATAACGTCATCACAGACAATTCATTTCTTCGTTCAACATCACATCACTCACTGACATCTCATTCTCATTCTCACTCTCAGATCAGATCAGATAAAGCATATTTTTAATTCCCTTTTATTAATATTACAGTGGTGTAACCTATTTTCGTGCATATAAGGATTCAACACCGAATTTCGTCAAATTTAAAAGAATGAATTTTTTTTTTTATGTCTTAGACTTAGATGTTTCCTCAGATATTCTACTAAATAATTAAGATTGGTTTATTTCGATTTTCTTTTGAATCCTTCACTTTGACCCATGAGCAACCAACTCAGCAACGGCGGCAGAATGCGTCACCCATTTTCGTGTACAATGTTTGATCTATAAATAAGTATAGAAAAACACGTTGTATGGATACCGGGTGGTATAATTAACTAGTATTTATCTTTAATATCAAGTCATTATAACTAGACAATTCCTTCAAAGAACCACGTTTTAAAAAAAAAATAGTGACTGACAGAATAAGATACGTAGCGTGATTTATTGCTAAAAGTCATTGAAACGACATAAGAATATGGTCCACTTTGTGTTCCATAGAAATTTTCTGCTGACACGGAATCCGCTAGTTGCTCACTTGACTTCATTCGTTGGACTACATTCTACCAGACGACACTTGGAATTCCGATTACCGCTTGGGATTATAAGGAAATTCGGCCTGGTCACAAATAAAGAAATCTACAAGATAAACACCAGGGTGGAGTTAAAAGAATAGCCATAAAATGCATGTTGTAGGCCTCAGCTGTTTGTAATTGATCTCAACTGATTTGTTTGTTTTTTGTATCAAGATTTAATTTATTTTAAGATTAGGGATATACAAATTTATGTAATTCAGGTTAAGAATCACTAACTGCTACTAAGATGAAGGTTGGATAAAACAACAAGAATGGATGAATATATTTTTGAGGCAGAATTCGCAGACGAGTTAGAGGCATTAGCTGATTTTGAAGATGATTGTAAGTTGAATATAATACAAGAATTCTACATTTTGGCATATTTCCTGGTACATGGGTATAAAATAACCACAAATTTTTTAAGAGTTAAGAGACTTTGTGCTGTGTTATATTAACAGTATTCAATATTCAAAATTGCCATTGCTTATTTTTCTTGGTCAAATCATGCTTATTGTTCTATTAATTGATCTTTGTAAAGAAAAAACCGAGTTACCTCCCTTATGGAAATTGTGAGACCTGATAATCTTTATTAAGTCATTGGAATCCCCTCGTAATTAGCTACTTAATTATTTACTTCTGAGACAAACTGGTATTTTTTCCAATCATTAGAACACCTTTGCCTGCAATTTATATAAGTATTAGCCATCCAATAATGGAATATAAATAAATGAAAATAAGGGAACTGAACTTCAAAAAAATATATACAGTGGTGTAACCTATTTTCGTGGATATAAGGATTCAACACTGAATTTCGTCAAAGTTAAAAAAGCGAAAAAAAATTTTTATGTCTTAGATGTTTCCTCAGATATTCTACAAAATAATTAAAATTGGTTTATTTCGGCAACGGCGGCAGAATCGTCACCTATTTTCGTGTACAATGTTTGATAAATAAATAAGTCGAGAAAAACATGTTGTATGGATACCGGGTGGTATAATTAACTTCTCTTAGTATTTATCTTCAATATCAATTCATTATAACTAGTGACAATTCCTTCAAAGAACCATGATCTTAAAAAAAATGGTGACTGACAAACGTAGCGTGATTTATTGCTAAAAGTCACTGAAACAACATAAGAATATGGTCTACTTTGTGCTCCATAGAAATTTTCTGCTGACACGGAATCTGCTAGTTGATCACATGACTTCATTCGTTGGACTACATTCTAGCAGACGACACTTGGAATTCCGATTACAGCAGAAGATTATAAGGAAATTCGGATGATAAAAAATTGAGACGTTTGGTAATAACTGAAATCCGCCATTTTGTATTTGTCAAAGTATACATTAATACATTTTACCTTGCTTGAAAGTACTGAATTCATTATACTAGCTGATATTGTAGAGAAAACCCATGTTTATCAAAACAAACTAATGCGGTGGTCGCGCAAGGTCACTCATGTAAATTATTAATCGTTTCCAGAAATCCACGAATAATAGGTTTCCACGAAATTAGGTTACTTGACTGTATATATAACGAAATCTTATTATTCAATTATGACAGTTCAAAACGCGTTCAATTTTTAGCTTGTAAACAGTCTAGAAGGGACAATTCTAACGGATTTTGACGAAAATTGGCATGAGTATTCGTAATCACCCAAGGATGAACCCTATTGAAAATCAGAAAAATGGAAAAATATTTAGGTATGAATTATTGCCCTAGATCTTGAAAACGCATTCAATTTTTAGCTTGTAATCACTCTTGACAGATTTTGCACAATTCTTGACGGATTTTGATGAAACTTGGTGTGAATATTCGTAATCACTTAAAGATGAACCCTATTGAAAATCAGAAGAATTGAAAAGTATTTAGTATGAGTTATTGCCCATGTTCTTGAAAACGCTTTCAAATTTAACTCTTAAACACTAAAAGGCATGATTCTTGCTGGATTTTGACAAAACTTGGTTTAATTATTCAATCCCGTGCTAAAGATTGAATATTTGCCTTGTGGAGTTTTCATGAGCTTAAAATTGAACACGTTTTCAAGAACAAGAGCAATAACTCATACTCAATATTATTCAGTATCGCCCTAAAGAGTTCAAAAGAAGTGTATGTCTGAAGGTTGAATATTTCATACTGGTAATTGTTACTGTACTGCCAAATATTTTTATTCAAAATCAAAGCTGCCAGTGGGCGTATATATATGAAACTTCGCATCTAGCCTAGCTCCGTATAGTCGCAGATTTAGACACGAACCTAATCACAAGCCATCTTGTCCAAGGCTACAGCTTGAATGATAAAATATGCATCAAATTAAATATTATAACGTCTGAATGATATCAATAAATTCTCAAATGCTCAAAATATTCCCAATTTTAACCGTGTGTATTTACTGAAGAAGTTGCAATACCGAACTATTTTTAAGAGTGGAAGCGTATCTGAGTTACGAAACTAGAAACCGGAAAGACGATTAGGAGGATTTTTAAAGACAGTTCGCACCATAATGAGTTATTTCGTCCTCATTAACATTACTGTGCTTACATTTTTATGTTTATTTACTTAGTATTTATCAAATAAAATTCATTCTTTTCATATGTGTCTTTAAAAACACCATGTTTAATTAAGTTTTACAGTCTGTTTTACTGATTTATTTCCCTTAATTTTATTGATCGCTCGAATGTCCCTTCCGGTATTAACGTCTACGCGTGAACTATTTTAAACATGGCTGGTCAATAGGTCAGGGTAATATCTCCGATAGGTAGAATTTCTCTGTTGATTAGGATGTGGGCGTATATTACCTTGCCTGGCAAGCTATCTTCTATGATTGTTTCATTTTAAAACTTCGAAAACTTATAAAGATTTTCTCTTATCTTCTTTTAGATCCAGAGAACACAAGTTATTGTAAGTCTAAAAAAGCATTAAATTTTGAAACACCTAAGTCAAAAAACTCTCATGCAAAGGAAAATGGTATTAAATCAAAGGAAAATGATTTTAATGACAGCTTGTTAGAACCATTAGTTAGTCCTGAATGTATACCTAATGGTTCACTATTGCGGTCAAAGGGAGATAAATCCAATAAAAGATGTCGTGTTGAAGAATTTGAAGATTTTTCTGGGGATAGTGAGGATGAAGATATAAGCTGTTCCAAAATAGATACTGAACCTGAAATAGGTAAGTAAATTCTGTCGCTGGTCAGTTGCTGTGGTGTGGGACCAGTTAAAGGGATTATAAAGAGATTTTCTAGCCTTTTTTTGTGTATCAGGGACACATTTTTATATGCCCAAATAAAATGGGGGGACGTATATTGCCGTCACCCTTGTCCGTCCGTTGGGTTCAAGTTTTAGCCTATAAAAACTCTAGAAGGCACAATTCTTGATAGATTTCGAGGAAACTTGGTAATATTATTTTAGTATCTCCTCAAAAAGTTCAAAAGAAGTATATGATATAAGGTTGAATATTTCATACTGGTGATTGTTACTGAATTGCCAAATACTTTTATTTAAAATCAGTGGGCGTATATTACCTTGCCTGGCAAGCTATCTTTTGACCTTTGTTGACCTCTTAGTTATTTTGCTTGAAGAGACCTTTCCAAAAATATTTTTAATTTTTGTTGTGCGTTTTTACTTTTAATTTTACAGCTATTTGAAATTCACCTTTTTATTACCGAATGGTAATACCTTTTAGTTTACACCTTTTAGTACCGAATGGTATCGAATTCATGCGTCTTTTCACTACCGAACTTTATACAGTTTAATTGAATGTTTATTTACAAGCTTTTCTTTTCAATTAGAAATCCCAATGTGACTTTAAAGTGTAATGTTTCACCAATGTATTGGGCTGAAACTTGGTGTGAGTGTTCGTAATCACCCAAGGATGAACCCTATTGAAAATCAGAAAAATCGAAAAATATTTAGTATGAGTTATTGCCCTTGTTCTTGAAAACTCGTTCAATTTGTGGCTCGTAGAAACTCTAGAAGGCATGATTCCTGCCGGATTTTGACAAAACTTGGTTTTGACAAAACTTGGTTTTGACAAAACTTGGTTATATATAGTACCGCGCTTTCAAAAGAAATGTTTGACTGAAGGTTGAATATTTCATACTGGTCATTGTTACTGTACTACTAAATATATTTATTCAAAATCAAACCTGCCCACATTGCCTTGCTTGGAAAGCTATCTTATTGTATACTCTGAAGGGGTAGACTCTTCATATGTGGTTTATTCAGTAGTGTGTAGACTATTCATGTATGGTTTGTTCAGTAGTGTTCCTAGCCTGTCGGCACAGGTGAGGTAGAAGTAACCTCCCTGCTTCAGTATTGGCTAGGTTTTTGATCTTACCTGTACATTGGCACCTTTCATTGATTTTCAATGTTAGGTATGGCATGTTAGGTGTCTTAGCATTTTTGATCTGTAACGTGATTGGCTTCTTTTGCTTTTCATTTTTCTAGATAGACATTTTAAGTGGTCAAATTCTTTATTTTTAAGAATTTGTTTCAACTCTGTATTAATTTTGATGAAAGTATTTTCATACTAATTATGATTAAGTATTTGATTCCTGACTTTAGAAAGTGAAATCTTTTGTAACGATTATTTGCATCATAATTTTTTTTGCAGATATGAAATATTTTACATTTACCAAAGTTTAGAGTTATCTCCCTTTACACTTTATTTCTTACTGTCCGATTTTGTTGCCTAAATTGATAGGCTACTATATTAATTAGTTGAACTCTTTATTTCTAAGGATTTTTTATCCTCTGTAATTTTTTTTTATGTTTATTTTGATTGTGAATTTGATTCCTGACTTTTGAATGAAACTAGGTCAAATTAATTATCAATTATACTGAGATATAAATATTAATTTTTTAGAAATATTTTCAGGTATATTTAAGATGTTTTTGATAATAAAAATGTTTTAAAAAAAAGTGGAATGCACCTTAAATATAACATAACAAGGGTTACATCCCTTGGCACATTATATTCGGTAAATGTTATGTAGAACATTGGCACTAGTTAAATGACATTGGGTGAGGTCAAATATTTAGTTAACTTTGAGTTAAGGTGAAAAGATAACACCTGAGTTACTCCAATCCTGCTTCAATCCAATATTTGATTAATATAACTCAATCCAACTTAACTAAATATTTGACCTCACCCAATGTCTTGATACTATAGAATTGCGTTATTTTGCAAGGCCTACTATGTTGATTATGTGATTGATGTGATAAATGTCTGTAAGATTTGTTCTTAGAAAAATTTTAATCTAAGTTATCTTTATTTTTTAAAGAACCACTCAGCAAGAGACAAAGACTGCATGATCTCACTCCACAGAAACCTTTGTCTGTTTCTAAGTCATCTTCTGGTAAAAAACAGCAAGAAAAAGATACAGAAGATGACAATGTTTTTGATCCAGAGTTTTTAAAGGCAACAGCAATAGCTGATGATATTATTAAAAGAAGGAATCAGACAAAAACATTTACAAAATCCACAGGTGATTAAAAACTTATTTATTTACAGCTTTAGTGTGTTTGATACTGTTAATTGCAATAAAATTAAGTACCAGTCTAAATACATAGATATACAAAATTATAATAATGACAATAACAAACATTTATTGTTATCGAAATGTCAATTCTTTTTTTTTTTTTTTTTTTTTTTTTTTTTTTTTTTCGTTTCGTCCACACCTTCCTGAGCTTAGACTACAATAGTTGCAGCACCCATTCAACATTCACGAACCTTAGATATAGGCGACGATGTGCATGAATATATTTTGGATCATTTTTGCAAAACCGGAAGTGCCACAGTTCAATATGTGCAAGAATAGAAAATCGGCTCTAGAAGTCGTATTTTTCGGTCGATTTTCTTTGGGTTTGCATTTTTGGAATCTACTGTTAAAATCTGAAAGAATAGCAGTTTCAAAATTTCAAAATTCGAAAATTTGTCGCAGACATTTCTTTTGCCAAATTTTGCTTTTTTTTCAATTTTTTTGCTTTTTGTCTGATTAATCTGAAAAAAATTGAGCAAAGACAGTTTAAGAAATGAAATAAAATGGTACAATCAAATTTTCAACTTCACTTCCGGTTTAAACAGGAAATCAATTTTCACTTCCGGTTGAAAAACTTCCGGTGTAATTTGTAGAGGTTAAAAAATTTTATGCTGATAGGTAGACAAAGTTATGACAAAAAAACGAAGAAAAAAAAATCCAGACCAGACGTGAAACTTTGGCCGCCATCTTGATTTTTCTGAAATGATTCGATTTTTATTCAGACATAATGGCTCATCCGATTTAAATGAAAGAAGATAAAAAAAAAAACATGACATTAGGAAGCCGTTTTTCGATTCTCAATTTTGCTTTTTTGCAACATCCGGTTGAATTTTTTTCAAAGTTTGAAGGGTCATATCTCGTGGTCTTGAACTTTGATGACCTTGATCTTCATAAGGTCAAAGGTCATTGACCTTAGCTATCAGTTAATACTTTGACATTTGACCTCCGACATGTACTTCCGGTTTTATAGATGTCCGAAAACAGCCAAATTCGCAACTTTGGACTGCTCTAGCACGTGACCTAATTAACCTAGAGAGTTAATTTTTTCGGATTCTTAATGTGCTTTTAATGCTCTTTCAAGTGATTTATAACAATCGTTTTTTAAAGCAAAATTGAAATTCGTGAATTTTTCAAATTTGAGTTTTTTTTTACAATATTTCTGTTTCTTTGAGCTTGGTGTGTATATATCTTATGACCTATTTTATGTAAAACATTGAAACTTGGAACACAACAAGACAATTTGAATATAAATTAACCTATGACAAAAAAGTTGAGGTGGGCATTACATCCGGGTTGAATTACTAATTGTTTACATTTTGGGAAAGGGGCATAACTCGCATAGGATACATTTGTTCAAAAAGGAACTTTGCACACAATTACCTTATTAATTTGGCCAGTTTGTATTAATAGGTCAATTGTTTCAGCTTTATAGTTCCAAAAAAGGAACGGGTTTTGAAATTTCCATATTTTCAATTTTCTATTTTGACCTTTATTGACTCTTGTTGACCTATATCTTTTGACCTGTATGATGTAGAAGCTTTAAATTTGGAACACAACATAACATTCAGAATATCAATTAACCTGTGCAAAAGAAATTGAGGTGGGCGTAGCACATCTGGGTTAAATTACTCATTATTGACAATTTTGGCAAGGGACATAACTCGCAACGTATACATTTGTTCAAAATGGAACTTTGCATACAATTACTTCATCTGTTGAGCCACGTTGTCTTAGAAGTTCAATTGTTTCAGCTTTAAAGTTCAAAAAAAGGAACAGGCTATGAAAATTCAAAATTTTCAATTTTTGACCTTGACCTTTTTTGACCCTGATTTTTGTAGGATCAAAGGTCATTCACATTGGCTATCTATTTATACTTTTATATTTGCTGTCCTATCTCAACTTCCGTATCGTATATATTTAAAAATTTTGATGATTTGTATCTCGTAACCTTGACCTTTGTTGATCGTCTCCCTTTCAATGTCAAATGTCATTGACCTTGGCTATCTTCTGATACTTTCATTTGTGAGGTCTGTCTACTTCCGTTATAACAATCTTCCAAAGAATTCTTCTCAACTTTAGACTGCTCTTGCGCGTGATGTAATTATCGTAGAAGGTTGATTTTTTCAGAGTCTTTTGCATTTTGCTACATTTGCAAAGTCCCACTCTGTGCCAAGTGTGGCTCTAGTATTGTTATTACTATGTATAATTACTTTGTACATAATATATGAAAATATCCAGTCTTAAGTTGTCACTTCATTTAGTAAAATTTTGGACACATGAGCAGCAAAGTCTCAATGAAAACAGGCATAAATGCCAATACATGTATTATAGTTTGAAGAGTCATAACTCCATCATGCTGCCTTCACATGTAAGTGAAACATTCTGTGTATAAAATGAAAGAGTATATGTAGATAAACCATGTGTAAATCTCAATAAGTAATGCAACAAACAAAAGTTTCTTCTGATGCACTAGTATTAAATGGAAAGATAATGTAAAATAATGCCAAGTTATTTGTTAATGTATTTAGAAATAGTTGCAAATCTTTTTTTTAATTCATTAAATAGCTTTATAGAGAAAGAATTATTGCTCAAACAGAGATTTATTTTTATACTATTTCAGAAATTGTATCTGAAATCTCAAATGTAAAAAGACTGTTATCTGTAAGACCAAGTGGTAATTTTTTTAATGTAACTAATACTAATGGTAATAGATTTTATGTTAAAATAAAAGATGAAGACAAGTTTGAAAGAGAAGTAAGGTTTTGATTATTAAATGCTTATTTTAAATAGAAAAAAAACCTTAATGCTTGTGGCTTTTCAATTTTCTTTTGGAAAAGGGAAAACAAAGTAAAGCTCTGTGACTTAGCATGTAGTTGAATGCTAGTGTACAGTTTCTGTGTTGGAGACAGAGTTAGTATTTTATCATTTCATAACTCTATCCGTAACTAGTGATGCTGAATGCAGGGGTTCGTGTTGAAAGAGCTTCTAGTTGTGTGTTACGATGTGAGTTTCAGACTGTATATGATAAAGATACCTCTATAGTTGCTGCTGTTCTGAAGAACTTCCCTCATTGTTCATTGTTTGGTGTTGATGTCCTCGTTATCCCATTTGTTACAGAACAATACAAAAAAGCCACACTTCATTCCACTTTGGCCCTTTAGAATAATAAGTAACATGTTTAAGATTGAATTAGAATAATATTTTTAATGTTTTTTTTCTATAAGATACAAGATGTATGTAGAAATAAAAGGATAACAGGATTATTAAGTGTACCATACTCTGTATTAAAACATCAAGTAGAACAAGAGGTATGTATAATATATTTCTCTCAACTTTACTTGCATCTTTGATTAGGGCTGCAACGATTCTTGAAGTTGCCATTCGATACACGAAACGATACTCATCCAACGATACAATTTATTGCGGTGATAATTGCAATTAATTTATTGGTTTTGAAATGAAAAAATATAGTCAACAATTTTGACACTATCAACATTTGAGAACATTTAGAATTAAGGCAGTGTGATAAAAAATCTCAATTTTTTAAAGTCAGAAATGAATTTTTGCAATTTTGATATGTTAGTCATACTTGAAAAATGAAAATATGAAACAATTTATTCAACACACAAGGATTCTGTATCATTCATTATGAAAAGAGCTAGAATTTAATTGTGCTGATACATCACGATTAATTTTATGCAGCGCAATGCATCGATAAGAAGGAAAGAATCTCGATTCATCGGTGAATCGTTGCAGCCCTATCTTTGATCATAAAGCACTCTAAGTGCTATCACTTGCTCTTATGAAGTCACTCTAAGCAATAATGATATGTGTATATTGGAACGAAATAGGCAGATTTTGTACTAAATTGTATCTCAGTGGTAAATTCGTTATCAATTACTATCAATTACATTTATTACAGAGACAAAACAAGATCATTGAAGAAGCTAGAAAAATAACTGATGAAATAAATAGGTAAAAACATTATCATATTTATAACAGTTGTCCACCCTTGTTATCTCGTAATCAGGTGAATAATTTAACAGTATTAATAAATAAGTCTACTTATAAGTTGATAATTATTACAAAAAAAAAATTTTACGTTTGTTATACTGTATACATGAGATATATATTCTCCAAAGAATACTGTTTGGTGATATATGTTCATGTGATATTATTATACCACATTTAATTATAATAAAATTATATTTTACCTATTGAAATGCTATGATATATGTATATTTTATAGAGAAATAGATAATGATTTGGGTTTAGATTTTGATAATGTACCCGAGACATTAACAGAACCTCAGAAATATTTATGGGTAGAGAAATATGCCCCCAGAAGATATACTGAATTACTTAGTGAAGAGGTAACAATATTTTGGTTGATTACATGGTGTTATTTTATGTTATTGTTTAAAGGAATAAAATCCTTTTTTGTTCCAATTTTACATTTGTGGGTTATAACCAATGTAGGTTTAAGTTGTGTTTTGCCCAGTTATTACCTTATTAAATTTATCTTGACATTGAATTTTTCAACAACAAAAAATTCTAGTCATACAGTCATGAAATTGATTAAAGGGATTATAAAGAGGTTTTCTACAATTTTTATGTGTATCGGGACACTGATAGCATCAATTTTGTACCATTCCAATTTTCAATCAGTCATCTTGGGTTCCTGCAAATCCACTAAAACTAAGGTTTTATGACATCTCCATGGTTTGTAGGCTATAAATCGTACTCTTCTACATTGGATCAAACTGTGGGATCATGTGGTTTTTGGTAAAGAATTACCCAGTAAACATGTTAAGGATAAAAAGAAACAGAAAGAAGTTAAAAAATGGAAAAAATTACCAGAATTAACAGATGAATTAGATAAATTTAATCGACCACTCTATAAGGTGAATATTGTGCTTCTTTAGGTATGCTGCTGCATATGATATAGCAAAGATTAACTCTTCCAATGCACCTATTACTGCTTTACTTTTGTAAAATATCATCATTGAATGCACATTGCTTATAAGAATTGTTTTTGTTTGTGGTTCTTGATAGAAAAATAAAGTTCTCAAACTTATATATGATTATGATACAACATACTGTATACATAACCATACATGCTGTATTTTAGGTGGTGTTATTATGTGGACCTCCTGGGTTAGGGAAGACAACTCTAGCTCAGATTGTAGCATCACATGCCGGTTATAATGTTGTAGAAATGAATGCTAGGTAAGAATAGTTGGCATCTTTTTATGTCTGTATATAGTATATCTGTAAGTTTTATGATTAAGATTGTGCTATGACCAATTTCAATCAAGAGATCATATCATATAGGTACTAATATCCTTCACCAATAGCCCATATTGCATCAAATTGTTTAACAGATAGAGATTTGGAGCTCATCAACTGACATGAGAAATAAATTCAGTCGCAATTTGTACAAAAAATAATTTCAGTGATGACAGAAGTGCTGAAGTATTTAAAAATAAAGTTGAAGCTGCCACTCAAATGAAGTCTGTAATTGAAGCAGATCCTAGACCTAATTGTTTAGTTATTGACGAGATTGATGGTGCTCCACAGGTTTGTATCCCAATTTATGCCTTATTAAAGTAATATATACTATTATAGAGTATTTTAGCATTAGTTTATATTGAACCTTTATATAATAGAGCTGATGTACAATAATATTATTGATTTTAGCTTGCTATTAATATATTACTAAACCTAATTTAAAAAACTGATGTATCATTATGTAATATATGAGATACCGTTATATTATAATATAATTTCAGCCAGCTATTAATATATTACTAAACCTAATTTAAAAAACTGATATACCATTATGTAATATATGAGATACCGTTATATTATAATATGATTTCAGCCAGCTATTAGTATATTACTAAACCTAATTTAAAAAACTGATGTATCATTATGTAATATATGAGATACCGTTATATTATAATATAATTTCAGCCAGCTATTGATATATTACTAAACCTAATTTAAAAAACTGATGTATCATTATGTAATATATGAGATACCGTTATATAATAATATAATTTCAGTCAGCTATTAATATATTACTGAACCTTATTAAAAGAACTGATGTACCATTATGTAATAAATAAGATACCGTTATATTATAATATGATTTCAGTCAGCTATTAATATATTACTAAACCTAATTTAAAAAACTGATGTATCATTATGTAATATATGAGATACCGTTATATTATAATATAATTTCAGTCAAACTAATTTAAAAAACTGATGTATTATTATGTAATATATGAGATACTGTTATATTATAATATAATTTCAGCCAGCTATTAATATATTATTGAACCTTATTAAAAGAACTGATGTACCATTATGTAATATATGAGATACTGTTATATTATAATATAATTTCAGCCAGCTATTAATATATTACTAAATCTAATTTAAAAAACTGATGTATCATTATGTAATATATGAGATACCGTTATATTATAATATAATTTCAGCCAGCTATTAATATATTACTAAACCTAATTTAAAAAACTGATATACCATTATGTAATATATGAGATACCGTTATATTATAATATAATTTCAGCCAGCTATTTGTATACTAGTGCTTACACAAGACTGACTGGAATGTAGGACTTACCAATGTGTATTTTAAATAACTTTATTACAGTGATTTACATAGAGGAAAAGATGGTTACAACCTCATGCCACGTTGTTGACTGTATGACGGCATGCTAGGAAGTGTCGAAAGCGTGGCTTTGGTACAAGTTCGTTTATTGTAGTCTATGTTGGGGACACCTTCGTGTTGTTGTTAATACATTATATTAGTCCGAGACACCGAACTTTAACTGTCACTTTCTGAAGATTCCACAAATTTGGGGCAGGGGCGAATGGCAAGTCTCTTGCTATGTCTCAAGGGAACAGTCTCCTCTTGTGGAATAGAAGAGTTTGTGACCGTAAAGAATTCCTTTGGTTCCGAAAGAGATACTTCTAAAGGATAAAGTAGGTGAATAGAGCAATTGGTAACACCATGTTTAGTCTGGATTGACGCAGCACGAACAAAACCATCAGTTCCATGGATTAAGTCCTTCACAAGAGCAAGTTTCCATAAACTTCGGGGTCGATCTTTATCATACACCAATACCACATCTCCAATCTGTATGAGATTTGTTTTGGCTTCAGACATCTTTAACTGGTAGGTGTGCCTCTCTCGTAAAGTCGACAGATACTCAGATTTAAAGCGATTGACAAAATGGTGAAACACTGCTGCTCGATGTCGCATCGCCTTGTTCAAACTATCATGAAGTCGGTAATCTTCGTCTACTTCAACATCAGGGTTAATACCCGGATGAGGTAATGCGGTAATATCATAACCGTATAACAGTTTTGATGGAGTAATTGGTTGAGGATCTTCAACACTTGTTGATACGTATGTGAGTGGTCTGTCGTTCACAACAGACTGTACCTCTTTAACAAGTGTCTGCATTTCATTCAGATTTATGAGCGCTCTACGTAACACCTTCTTGATTACCATTTTCACCACACCAATCAACCATTCATACATTCCACCCCAGTGAGGAGATTTTGCAGGAATGTGCTTCATGTAGATAACTTTGTTGTTGGTGAGATGATTCTGTACGGCTGGTTTAAAACTAATCTGTAGACATGTCAGTTACAACTTCTAGGTTTACGTTTCGTGTTGTGCTACATGTAAATAGACAAATGTAACACTTCTGGACTTTCTTTCCACCATTCTTTACCATCAGATGACCCGTAAAGTCGATACCAACCGTTGAAAATGGTTTAATGCGGTTGAGACGAAAATCTGGTAAGGCTGGAGATGGAGGAAGTCTGAAGGGCTTGCCAACATGGTAACGACAAATAACACATCGCCGTAGAACTCTGGATACTTCACTACGTGCTGCTGGTAACCAAAAACGTCTTCGTAAAGCTGTGACAGTTGAGCTTACTCCTGCATGTAGTTGAGAAGAATGTACTGATTTAACCAATAGTTCCGTTAAATGGGTTTTCCTGGATATCAGAATCGGTAATTTTGCATCTTTGTCGAGCTGGGCATGCTCGAGTCTGCCAAGGGCAGACTTGGTTACCCAAGTTGAGTCTCAAACACAGTTGACGAACTAGTTGAGGCCTGGTCTTTGCAGAATTTGACTTCTTGAGTAAGTATGCGAGTTCAACTGGAAAACATTCTTTTTGGTGAGCTTCAAGAATGCTGAATTCAGCTCGTTGAATTTCTTCTGTGTAAGGAACTGGAATAACACTTAGCGTGATATCACAATGCTGACTGGTAACCAGATGACGCTGTTTTAAGTTCTGTATGAATCGTTGAACATATACCACTATTCGAAGCAGTTTTTCATAAGAACTGTATCTGGAGACTGGCTAACTGTACCATTTGAACCACTTTCATTTGAAGCAACCGTAGATAAACATAGGTTACCATTTGAATTTGGTTCGTCAGGATCAACAATAACAGGTTCATATATAATTTAATGATATTCAATAAGCTGCGTTCGTTGTACCAGTCCGTGCAGAAGGTGCAGTTCTTTGTGACTTCCCTGATGTAGATGCAGACTGTAGTATATTCGAATCATGAATTGCTGTATGATGAGATTCCTTACATATTGAGCACCTCCAATGTAAAGGAGTGTTTTCAATTGAATGAGAATCTTTAAGACAGTTCATACACCGATTATGTGACTTGGCAGCTTTGACACGATCATCGACCGAAAGTGTACACTGGAATGTGTTGTGTTGACCACCACAAAATTGACAAAGACGAGCTGGTCTCTTGAAAAGTTTGGTTTTGAAAGATCTTGAAGACTGAGTGGATGACGTAGCTGGCATGGTTGTTGCACTACCTGATGGAAGAGTTTCTGGTTTGACAGCTGTTGTAGGCTTGCTTGAAATAGTCTTGACTTTCTGTTGACTTATGGTGGTGATCTGCTCCAATTTCTTGGCCTCGGCATGTATAATGTCCATCAGCTCCATAAGAAGTGGATTATCATCGGTATATGTCTCGAGAATTGTTTTTAGAACATCAGCTGGAAGCTTTTCCATTAGAATTGGAACGTAGAATTCCCCATAACGGTCAGGTAACAACTGTAACGTCTCCAGAGATCGGATATCACCGATGACTGCATCATAAAATGCTCTTAAAGATGAACCATTATACTGTGGTTTCAAAATGTTAACCAAAGCAAGACAATGAGAATTTTTGATGAGAGTACGGTTACAATAATTGTCTTGAATTGTCTGTACCAAGAGAGCATAGTTGTCGTTACTGGCTTGGAGACCCTCAATACGTTTCTTGACAGATGAACTCAGCTGACCTTTCAGATAGTTGAACTTTGTGACATCAGATATATCCTTACAGCTATGAATTTCACTTTCGAATACATCCCAAAAGCTATACCATTTGCGTTGATCACCATCAAATGTAGGAAGTACTATCTTTGGTAGTTTGACAGATGAGTGCTTCGCTGATTTGGTAGCGGCTAATGAAGAAAGTTGACTTGCTTTTTCAAGAGCATGTAGGAAATCATCAATGCGGACTAACAGCAATGGAATGATTATCTGATATTATATCACATTCTTCAAAATCATATTCAGAGCTCTGATCATCTTTCATTTGAATAAGGAGATCTTGAATTTTGTCATCATATTCTTGAAGTCTGTGTTTGGCATTCACAAGCTTGTCTTTGACAACGTATAAAGTCTTTAAATCAGGCTCTTCACTGTCGATTATGGCATTCACTCTTTGATCTTCTTTCGTAAACAAACTTCTCAAAGTAGCTCGTTTTCATACGAATCGTTTGTGGGTTTCGGACAGGTTCTCTGTAACATCTGACGTTTCACCATCTTTTGGCATCTTGAATGTGAATTTTAACATACATGAAGACAAAGAAAAACAAAAATGGATTATGTTTACCAAAATTCTTCACAAATAATTCGATGCTGACTGTCGATGGTGCGTTTTCGAATGTCTGTGGATGAAAAGAATCCTGACTTCTGCCGCCTACATGTGGTATAAACTGACGATGAAACTGTACACCTCTTCCATCTCTCTGTTGATGTATCACTGTAAAAGTCAATCACAAAATCCAGTGTTGTTTCTAAAGTATTTCTCTAATCATGGCACCAAATTCTTTCTCTAATCACGGCACCAAATTGTGTACTAGGGTTTACACAAGACTGACTGAAATGTAGGACTTCACAATGTGTAGTTTAAATAACTTTATTACAGTGATTTACATAGAGGAAAAGATGGTTACAACCTCATGCCATGTTGTTGACTGTATGACGGCATGCTAGGAAGTGTCGAAAGCTTGGCTTTGGTACAAGTTCGTTTATTGTAGTCTACGTTGGGGACACCTTCGTGTTGTTGTTAATACATTATATTAGTCCGAGACACCGAACTTTCATTGTCACTTTCTGAAGATTCCACACTATTAATATATCACTAAACCTAATTTAAAAAACTGATATACCATTATGTAATATATAAGATACCGTTATATTATAATATAATTTCAGTCAGCTTTTAATATATTACTGAACCTTATTAAAAGAACTGATGTACCATTATGTAATATATGAGAAACCGTTATATTATAATATAATTTCAGCCAGCTATTAATATATTACTAAACCTAATTTAAAAAACTGATATACCATTATGTAATATATGAGATACCGTTATATTATAATATAATTTCAGTCAGTTATTAATATATTACTGAACCTTATTAAAAAAAACTGATGTACCGTTATGTAATATATAAGATACCGTTATATTATAATATAATTTCAGTCAGCTATTAATATATTACTGAACCTTATTAAAAAGAACTGATGTACCATTATGTAATATATGAGATACCGTTATATTATAATATAATTTCAGCCAGCTATTAATATATTACTAAACCTAATTTAAAAAACTGATGTATTATTATGTAATATATGAGATACCGTTATATTATAATATAATTTCAGTCAGCTATTAATATATTACTAAACCTAATTTAAAAAACTGATATACCATTATGTAATATATGAGATACCGTTATATCATAATATAATTTCAGTCAGCTATTAATATATTACTAAACCTAATTTAAAAAACTGATATACCATTATGTAATATATGAGATACCGTTATATTATAATATAATTTCAGTCAGCTATTAATATATTACTGAACCTTATTAAAAAAAAACTGATGTACCATTATGTAATATATAAGATACCGTTATATTATAATTTAATTTCAGTCAGCTATTAATATATTACTGAACCTTATTAAAAAAAACTGATGTACCATTATGTAATATATGAGATACCGTTATATTATAATATAATTTCAGCCAGCTATTAATATATTACTAAACTAAACCTAATTTAAAAAACTGATGTACCATTATGTAATATATGAGATAACGTTATATTATAATATAATATAATTTCAGTCAGCTATTAATATATTACTAAACCTAATTTAAAAAACTGATATACCATTATGTAATATATGAGATACCGTTATATTATAACATAATTTCAGTCAGCTATTAATATATTACTGAACCTTATTAAAAAAAACTGATGTACCATTATGTAATATATAAGATACCGTTATATTATAATATAATTTCAGTCAGCTATTAATATATTACTGAACCTTATTAAAAGAACTGATGTACCATTATGTAATATATGAGATACTGTTATATTATAATATAATTTCAGCCAGCTATTAATATATTACTGAACCTTATTAAAAGAACTGATGTACCATTACTGGGGAAGAAAAAGAAGGAAGAAGGAGATGTTTTATTACGTCCTATTATCTGTATCTGTAATGACCAGTAAGTAATGTCTATTATTTTATGAAGTTATGAAGTATGTTAAGTTTCAAGATACTGAGAAAAATTCTGATCTCTACACCCTTGCAGCTGTTTTGGCATGTTTATAATTGAAGTTGTTTTGTAATCTCCTATTGTTCATCAGTTGTAATAGTAATAGAAAATACTCTGGCTTAGGCCACAAGTCAAGAATATGGTTTGAAAGTAGATTATAAATAGAATATTTTATAATCAGCAGAACCAATCCTGATTCTATGTATAATTTAATATGATATCATCTTTAAAACTTTTGAGGAATAACAAGTTTTTGGGCGATTCTTTTTCAGATATGTAACATCTTTACGCCAGTTAAGACAACTGGCCTTGATATTGAGTTTTCCTCAGACAGAATCAACAAGACTAGCTTCTAGATTGTATGAGGTAAGAATTCCAGTGCTATTTCCTCTTGCTTTAATAAGAATGATAACAGGACCCTGCTGTGTATCTTTAACACATTATTAAACATTTTTTACAGGTTATAAGACATGAACATATAAAAGGTGATATGAACGCCCTTTTGGCTCTGTGTGAACGAACAGATAATGATATAAGATCTTGTTTAAATACTTTACAAGTAAGTTAATTCCTTTTTAACTTGTTGAGTTGGTCAGTAACATTCAATTTAAATTGTAGATTGTTTTGAAGTGAAGTCCTCATTTATGGCTTCATCATGCCACCTGACATTAAGTTATATTTTCATCTTGTTCTACTGATCAGGAAAAATACTTTTCAATGTGTTAGTAACTTGTTGATTAAGAAGTGATTCCTTCACTAATCAACTGCCTAATAAAGATTATGATATTAAGTCTGGCTTGTGGAACATCCCTACGTGTGTCTTTTTATGGCATAACTATAAGCTTGATTCTACTCTGTAACAGAGATATATTTCTAATCCTCTCAGTTATTTCCCTTTGGTGGTATCTGGTCATTGAAGACTTTAGATGTGATCAGGTTTATTATATCTTTGTATATGACTATAGTGTTGGGGTTCTATATCTCTATGAAATGAATGGACTATACTTTTCATGTGAATGAGGTCAACCTAATTAGGAAAAATGTTGTGATTATAGTTTGTACGACAGAATCGTAAAGAATTAACAGTTCAATCAATACAAGGTATGAGTATAGGACAGAAAGATGCACATAGAAGTTTATTTGCTACCTGGTATGAGATCTTCACTATGCCAAGAGCCAAACAGTAAGCTATTTAATTGCTCTTTGAATTTTAACTTTTAATATTGACACACAGACAAATTGCAATGCATCCTGTCATTTAGACAGAATAGTGGCAACATAGTTATTCTTGACTCCCTGAGGGGGCTCTTAAAACCTTTAAAGAATCAAGAGCCAATATAGGATTCTGAAATTTCAAAACTAACTTTTCTGCTGGATAATTGTTATTTATAAAGAACAGACATAAATCTTATAATAGAAAATGAAAATTGTTAAAACTATTTGTGAATGTTTTTCTCTAGAAATAGGTTTATGAATGTAAGAGATATGAGTGAGAGTGATAAGAAGAAGACTGTTAATTCTACTACACCTGGTGTCAGGTAAAGTTCCTTCCTATTTATCCTGCTATAGATGCTTTTTATTTTACACAATTTTACAATTAATTATAGAAATTGAAATTTTTTCTATATTCAATGACAGAAGTAGTTGTGTAAATATTTGCTTTTCCAGCTGATAATACTCTTATTGACTTTCACTCGAACCTAAATATGGAATTATATAATTCAGCGTAGATAACTTGAACTGGAAAAGCAAATATTCAGAAGATTATTTCTCTTTGCAATGTAAATTTCAAATGAAAAGTCTTGATATTTGTAGTATATATTTTTTATAAAATATTTGGCTGGTTCTTCCAGGTTTCAGAATATACTAATGGTAGCTCAAGCAGCAGGTGAATATGATAAAATAAGACAAGGTTTATTTGAAAATTATTTGGAAGCCAAATCAAAGGATCCTCATTTATTAGCAGTAAGTGAACTTTAGTGAAGATTTGGTTGTTATCCTGCTCTCTGTATTGAGTCAGATATATTTGTAGAATATTGACAGAATGAACTTACTTTCATTCTTCCGAGAAGTTTGACGTCTATGAGGAAATGTTCATGTACTTAAGAACAATTACAGATGAACAGCTCAAGACTCTGTCTCATTTGATATTACAATTTTTAGATTTTTTTACAGGTAGCTGTGGAGCTAAGTGAGTTGGACTTAGGCTTTAATCCAAAGATTCTGGGTTCAATCTTGGCATAGCTAAAGATAATACCCTTGGATTTTTCAGCCTGGTTTCACCTTTCAGCGATGCTAGGGAGGGGCTGACATGGAAAAAGCATTGAATGGGACAATAAACTATGTGCTACAAGCTGTGCACGTAAAAAATTCCCTTGACAGTTAGAAATCAAAAAGGAGTAGGCTAATGCTGCTTTCCTGGCAAAATTACCAACTAAGCACACTGTGTGGCATTGCCCGTCTTCATTAACCCAAAAAGGTGCAGAAGAGTAGGACGTAAAACTCATTTTAGTTCATTTAAATTTTTTACTTAACTATGACATCTGTTACAAACAGTATCTCTAGAATACTTTAAGATTATCTCCCTTGACCTATCTGAATGACACAATCAAGTGTAAAGTTGCCTACAGAAACATTTGCATTTCTTGATAAGTAAACCATTCAGGACGGTGTGTGTGGTTGAAAGAAAACGGATTATTTATCAATGCTAACAAAATAATGATCTTTTTAGATAATGCTGAAAACAAGACCATGAAGTAAAGAACAGTGTGGTTTACTTTGTTTTGTTTTTCAGTTAAATTTAGCAAATGAATGGATAGGATTTACAGACTTAATACAGAAATATACCAATCATAGTCAAGATTACTCAGTAATGAAATATGTTCCTTTTCTACCAGTTACATTCCATTTACTGTATGCTTCTTATAATCCACCTAGAATTCAGTATCCACATACACAATTTGAGGTAAATTTTCAGTTTGATAATAACAAGATTATTGTATTTAGTTTATGATTATGGGTCAAGCAGGGACAAAATTCCCTGGCTCACTCATCACATATCACTCAGCTGTGGATGCATTAGACACATTGCTGGTGAAAGTCGAATTTGATTGGACTCTTTAGGAAATTGTAAAGATATTTTGACCAATGATAAGTATCCTCTCAAAAGTTCTTGAATGTAATTGGGCTTCCTTACCCAAACTAGAGTGTCAATTATATCTGCAGCTGAGGTGAGATGAAGGTAGGTGATGATGTGCTAAAATGATGCCATCCATGTGAGTAATTGCAAAACTTAATCATTAATGACCCTTTTGTTTTTGTTTTTCTTTATATAAGATGTCAATTTATATTCTTAAACACTAGTTCTGATTTCTTGCCAAATCCAGTAGTAAGAAATGTGTTACCAGAGAGTTCTTTATTTTGATACATATTTTGTCAGATCTGGTCATTTACGTGGTAAGAGGTAATTAACTTGCTCTGTTTATAGATAAAAACAAAGGAGACCAAGTCAATAAATCTTATAGAATCTATGATGGCTGATATGTTACCCAGTGTTAGAAGATTTGTTAATCAACCTGCTATGGTGATGGATGTCATACCTCCTTTATTAGATATAATGCAACCTTCACTCAGACCAGTAAGTTTCTAAAACAGAAGTCAGTATGTTTTTTCTTATTGAATTGAATCCATTCTATACCCTTGACAGTCCTGTTTTAGGTATTGAAATATTGCGATTGAATTTCAGGGCTCCGAATAAGGTGATTTTTTTTAAAATTTGGTACTACAAAAATTACTTTATTTTAAAAAAATTGCTCTCAAAGGTAATGTGGTATCCATTAGTAAAAAATTTACTGGCTTACTAACATTATGTTTTGCATTGATTGAATTGTTTTAGAAATATGGTCCTTCTTTTAAGTACGTTGTTTTTTAGCACCTTACTAATGTTGTATAAAGGACGTGATCCATGGGATATAATTAAATACTGCACAGATATGGGTGTAGTTATGACCTTTAGATGACCAATTTTAAGGAATCATAGGTTTATGAAAACATCACACAGATTTTTACCTTGATTATCATCATCCTGTAGGTAAATACCCAGTTGTACAGTCAAAGAGAAAAGGATGAAATGTCTAATTTGATACGTATTATGATAGCATATAATATGACTTATAGACAAGAGAAACAAGAAGATGGACAGTATAATTATACTATAGAACCGTATGTATTAATGTATATTATAACACAGATTATTAAGTCCAAACATATGACTTTATCTACATGTACCACTTTACACAGTATAATTCAAATTTTCTTTTGTCTATGTAGATTGGATAACCAGTGAGGGATTACCTGTTCTCCATCTGTATAACAAACAATAGTAATTACAGTTAAATTCAACTATCATATTTGACTGACTACAAGGACATCTCAGATACGGTGTCATTATATAGAGACATTGATCATTGTTCTTTCTGCACACCATAATTATACATGTAGGATGATGTAAATACATACACGGTCAAGCATTATTTATAATTTATAATATTATTTAATACTAAACATTGTAAATTTTAAGATCTTGTATATTTTTTTTATTTAAGGAAAATAGATGAAATAGTCAAATTTCCAGGAATGAAACAACACAGACAGTTAACTTACGCAGCCAAACAGTTGATTGCCAGAGAGGTAATTTAGTTGATTTTTAAGACTGGTTTCCTAGTTTGAATTGTCCAATTTCAAAAGTCTTGGTCTTGGTCTTTATTCACAATTTTCCTACCCGATTTTTCATTGTCAGTAATGATGGTAAATGATATTTTGGTATTACCTATCACAGCGCATAATCTGTGCACCAATGAAACTAGGAAATCTGAAAATAGTTACCAAAAACATTAGTTACATAGATTTCAACAAAATCAATAAACATTCAAATTGAGGACGATCAATATTTAGTTAGTCCAAAATTCGGACTTACAGCTATAGTATAGGGGATTTAAATGTGAACAATTCGCTATGGATATAATGAAGTTAGTAAAAAGATTTGTAGAACAATTATTTGTTGAAGTAACATCAGAGTAATTTTACAGTTAAACCTTGGCTGTGCCAGTGAGATAATTCAGTTATTGTCTAATGTATTGAATTACAGATTGATTTAGAGAAAATGAGAAGATATGAAGCCAGATTTACTGCTATAGATAGCAGGTTGGTGTATCATTATCCTTCATTTGATACTATAATATCTGATATAAGATTTAATCAGAAGTAAAACTATAATAATAATTAGAATAATTCCTAATTCTAATTTTGTGGATGTGGACAATCTTTTTAACTCTGCAATTGGAATGAGTACTGCAATTGGAATGAGTACTTCCCAAAATGTATACAAATTTCATGGCAGCTCATGAAAAAGCATCTGTACCTCAAATTATCACAATCACTAGCAAGAAATGTTTGAATTTAATCTTATTAAACATGTATTTTGGCTATGCAAAGAGCAAGAATTCAAAGAAATTTAAAGTTATACCAAAGTTAGACAAATTTCCTTTATCCCTCAATGACATAGATCTAAATTTTCAAACCAACAAATAACATTTGTTTCTGTAATAGATATAAGTGTAAATCTGTTTTATATTTTAGTGAAAAGACATCTGGTGTTACTTCCAGGCATATAACAGGGGAGAAAAATAATGATAATACATCATCAGGTCCTTCTGTTCCAAATCATTTACAAACTCTTCAAGCCAAACCATTACAAGACAAACGGGTATATTTTATCATGTTTATAGTTTTATAGACCTGTCATACATACAGAAACATTCTATAAGCACCCCGTAGCACAGTGGGTTTGAACATTAAAATGTGACATCATTTTCTTTGTTAAAAACAAACGGTGCTGTTTTGTTTCTGCTATTAGCCTGTTGATTTATCTTCAAGTCACAAGTCATGAAGTTTATGGAATTACACTTTGTAATGTAAGGGCATATACACATTCTAATTCTAAATGTCAGATGGCCCTGTCTGTGTATAATATTTTTATTCATTATCTGAAAATTTTAAATTAAGTCAAACCATTGTTTGTATAGATAGCATTTTTGTTAACATCAATTACAATGTGTTACAGCTATTATTAATGGTTGTCTATTCTATCTATCTGTATACTAACAGTTTTGAGTTTTGATCTGTATTTTATCATTTTATCAAATTTATTGAGCCAATCCTGGACTGTTTTTCCTTAATTTTCAAATTCCTTTTCCAGGCTGTGAATTTCTTCAGTAATTTTACAAGAATTAAAAGAGAAGTCAGGCCAGAAAAATTACAGGAGGAAAGAGGCGAGTTTTTTCATCATCTACCTGTTGCAAATATAAATAGCAATTTTAAATAATCAACATCTCATGTGAAATATCTATTGTGTCAAGTATTACAACTGAATAATATGAAGATGTATAGGACTTTATCTGAAAATATTATTAGCTGTGATACAGACTGAATACTAATTTTGAACTATGCAAGCAGCATACATGTTCCTTAGGCAAATTTTTCAATAAAAGGTGTATGGAATGCCAAAACAGAAAAAATCCAACATGAAAAAATCATATACCAAGAAGTTACAATTTTATACCAAGAAACTCATATTATATACCAAAATCTTTAATCATATACCAAGAAATTTTGTGGCTTGAAATTTTCTTCAAATTTTTTTTTTATATCCTTTCAGAGGAAAAGAAGAGTGAAATTTTAGCTACCGATATTTGGTTTCATTTTAAAGAAGGTTTTTCTAATGCTGTGAGGAGAAATGTAAAGATTCAGGATTTATTATGATCATAAACAATAATACACTTTATATATATATATATCTTGATATTCTTTTATATACCACCAGTGTCTCTGTGAGATGGATTACTGTGGGCTGTAAATGGGTGAAATAGGATATCTCTCAGTGGCCTACTTTTTTCATAAGAAGTATAAGTGAACTACTGTTAGATAATGAATCCAAGAATTTGTCCCAAAAATGTAATGTAAAAAAATAAACTGAAGAATATTCTCAATATTTGTTTTGATTTTGGCCATGTCCATCAAAGACAAAATTTCCAGATTCTTCTTTGAAAGAAAAGCTGACAAATATTAATAGAACAATTTTAAAGCTTAGAAATACTTTCTACTTTCACTTTCTATATAACAAATAGTCCATCCTAAAGCCAAGCCCCCATGCATGTACGTGACATGGATTCTCAAAGCTGAAGAAAACTATGCCTGGACCACCCAGCCAACCTTGGGCCTGTAACACAAGATTTATTCTTGTAGAATCGATGATAACTGACTTTTTAGCTCCTACTTGATAAAGGGAAATTCCCTACCGGCAACGGAAGTCTTGAACAGCTGAGCACAAACCGGTTTTATGACACATGTATGAAGTCAGAAAAAACTGGATTGAATTGAAATAAAGATGGGAGACATGTGCCAAAGGAATGAATATTTCGAATCAAGATTAGGACCACCTGGCGAGTGTCTACCATGTAGTAATCTATGTGATGATGCTGAGCAGCGAAATAATGTTAAGGATTGTCTCTCTCGGTGTCCCGGTAAGTGTCATCTATTTTTAGCAATGCATGGACTATACCTTATTGAAAATTGTTGTGCAACCACTTGCAAACATACTTGACGACGGTGCAGGATCTGAGTTTATTTTCTACTTATCCCGTAGTAGCTAATAAAGAAAATAATTGGGAAGGATATTTAAGAAGATTAGTATAGATTGATTGTTTTCACAAGACTTTTTTTTGACAAGAAATGAGAGGTAGAAATCTTTCAAAATTACAATTTATGAGAAAACAATACCCTAAAAAAAATTCTATTTTTGGAAGGGATTTTCCAAAACCAGATTAATTTTAGATATGATGCGAGCTTGAATTGGCGATTGATATATGCTACACAATATATCATTGGGGTTGACAAGCAATGAGTGTCAGGACAGGTACGAATAGGATATTCTAAATAGTCAATTAACACCTCGGCTACTTGAAATTAAATGTCTGTTGTCATTGCTAATATAGCATCTATATCACAGGCATCTTTTTCTATCAATAGTCAATTAGTATATACTAGTATAGAGATAGTCCTGGTGGTTGGTAGATGACAAGTTAACGTTCGCTTCCACCGGATGCTATTGACAGAAATAGATGCCTGTGATCTACATCTAAGGGTAACACCTTTAACACCCTTTGTCCTTAACAATAATACCTCTTTGTTCTGACCTCAAGAGTCTACCGAACTAATTAAGCTTATCAAGTATTATAAAAGATTATGCATTGTATCCTGTGACAACAAATGTCATCATTCTCATCGTCAGTCCCTTGACCAATCAACGTCTTACTTGTAAAAGTCTTATCCTCAAATCAGGTTTCAAGACCAGGGACGCTAAAGGTTTTAACCAGTCAACCGAGGAAACCTGCTAAAACCTTTTTGAATAGTCAGTTCCCAGGTTAAGAGCCTGAGAAGGAGTTTTGCCTCCAGACCATACAACCTAGGTAGATAGATTGATGTTGTATTGATGATTATATCAACAATATATGTATTATACCAACTACACTATATTAGCAGCAAATGTAAAAAAGTTAGACAACTTCGGTTCTGCTTTTGATTTCTATTGCTATTGGATTCTGGTGACATTGCTTTGTTGGTAATGCTTGATTAGTTTGCCTCCTATCTTTGTGATAGGTCGCAGTATGTTTAAGTCAACAATGTGAAATCAGTTAATCTATGTCTTCACTGTAGAGTTCCTACCAGATTAAGTAAATGTCAGCAAAAAACAATATCAGTTTGCCAATCGGATATATAATTTACATCTGATGTGAAGAATCTGGGTTTGTTCATTGATTCACATCTTAACATGTCAAAGCATATCAACAAAGATCTACAAATTCGGAATCTAGTGTCGGTGTATACACCACCACGATCTTTACGTTCTTCAACAAAGCATCTGCTAGATATACCAATGGTTAACCTTTAGACTGTCAGGTCCTTTAGCTTTACGGCGGCCTCTTTATGGAACAAATTATCTGATACTATTAATCTATCTCCATCACTTGCCACTTTCAAATCTCGTGTCAAGACATGGTTGTTTAATCGCTACAAATAAACTATCTTGCTTTGAGCACACAAGCGCTTTGGGCATTCTTCTACAGTATGGAAAGGCGCTAATAATTTACTGTCATGTCCTGTCATCCTCAATAATTTACCTCATCCACCCACCATTATATACTCTTTTACCCCATCATATATTGTCATACATTAATGTAAACTGTCATCCCATCATTTACTGTAATTTATCCTCATATTATGTCATCTATCAACATCTACTGTCATGCCAGTATCTACCACCCATACTGTCATCTTTCATCATCTACTGCAGTGGTTATCAACCTTTTTTGTATGCGTCCCCAAGTCGAATCAGCATGAAAATGATGTCCCCAAATATCGAAAGCGTATCTATGATTGGATACCAGGCACGTACTCGCATAGTTTGATACCGGTAGTAATAATTCTCTGAGTACTCCTAGACAATGTTAATTTAGGCTGTGTATAGTGCAGTCATTATATGAGATGTTGTATATATTGCACCGTAGTACCGCAGCTATGACACATCAAATGTCTCAAAAGAAAAGTGCAAATGTTCCCACCTTGGGACATATCCCTGTGGTTGAAAACCTACGATCTATACTGTCATCTATCATCATATTTATTATACTGTCACCCCCCTCTCCTACTATCGTATACCGTCAAATACTGTCATCAACAACCATACTGTCAATCTCCATCATTAAATGTCATCCTATGTCATATACTGTATTCCACCATCATAATATACTTCATCCACCGTCATATATTGTCACCAACCGCCATGTATTGTCGCCCAATGTCATATACTGTCATTCAGCAAGATATACTGCCATCCACAGACATACGGATGAGATAACGTTTATGGTCAGACACTTTTTATGGGAGTTGCTTCGACCAACTTTTAGGTCGCTAGTTTTTAAGAATTTCTACCGAGTTAAAATCCAAAGTTCGGAGAAATTTTGGTATCCGAACAAAGTTGAATTGGGCTTCCACCAAGACATTACCGAATATTCCACGATGTCACTGTAACCCACGCAGTACCACAAATCACTCGAGGGGAAGGATTTCCCATTCTTAGTACGTAAGTAAAGCCTACCTCCCGACTGTATTTTGGTACCGTGTGGGAAAAAGGGACATTGTAGGAAATCAGTCTTGATCGAACTAGCTTTGTTTATTTAAGGCATAGCGCACTGCGTTCAGAAATGTACAGACTGACTCGTTTTTTGTCAAGATTGCCGCTATGGTGCTAAAAGCACTGTATGAGATGCGAAGTGGGTAACGGCAATAGCAAAATTTGTGCTTGTGCATTCAAACTGGGACTCAGACATTCATAATCTTTGGATAATTGCAGCTGATGAGTCATTCTGAAGATCAGCAAGTTTATTTTGGAATTGTTGCCTTTTTCACCCCATTTCTCCTCTTTCCAAACATTACCCCAGAGCATTTCAGGTTCATACCTCGGGGTATACATGGACACAGGTTGAGAAACGTTTCAAATCGAAGGTCCAAGGTCAGCTAGAGAAGTTACGAGAGAAACATTTGAAATGTTTTGATTTTGAAGATGCCATGTGAAGATAAAATAATGATTGTGTCGCATTGACAACAATATTACGATAGCACAGGCATTGGTTGAAAAAATCTCGACCATGCCGGAATTGAACCCTGGACCTTCAGGAGAGCGAGCAAGCGTCTAACTCACTGAACCACCACGGCTCCCTATGGACAGGTGAGACAACCTGGTATTATACCATTCAATGACAGACAAGGTATTTTTCCATATGCTACATTGGTGACCTCTATTTTCTATTCATATGAGTATTTAGCATTTTCATTTTCATAAATGAAAATAAGGGAACCCATCTTTAAGTCGAAAAGGGGAACTTTTTTAACCTTAATGACATGTTCCAAAAGCGTTGTTAATTTCATTTCAAAAAATAAAAATTTAGTTCTGATTTTCGCCTTATTAACATAAATTATATGATAATAGAATAAAAAAAAATGTTTATTTATCATGGCCCCAGGATGATACTTGGATAATAGAGAAAGTTGATATTGCGCATGTACAGAACAAGAATTCAATATTTATTATCAATTTCAGAATTTGATTATACACATACATACCAAGTTTGGTGAAATTTGGATAATAAATATGAATTTTAGACTTTGATTGTAGGACTACACAAACATTCAAGTTTTGTTTGATGTCTAGTTGCTAACTGAAATATCTGAAAATTTTAATATTGCCGATAGAATGGAAACCCCAGTCAAAAATGAAGCTTTCATCACATTAGAAGATCACAAAGAATAAATTTAACACAACAAAAGCGAAATGGGCATCGTAAGTTAAGAAAATATTAGATAACATAATTTCACGATGTCGCCAATGTATGGAAAAATTCATGTTTAAGTCACTAAAGACTGTTCTTATTTCTGACAGCTTGCAGTGGTCGTACGTTTCCTTGCATGAACCTATCTTCTGAACATTTATCATATACCAACAGATATAAATCAATTCCTACCAAACGAAATAGAAAACGTAACATAACCTGTTTACAACAATGCGATTTATACTGAGTATTGAATATATTATTTTGAGTCAATTTAAAGTTTAACGAAACAACCTGCCCACAGGAGGTAAAAACCATCATAAATGAATTCCATATGAAAAACATATATTTTGACACCATTGTATAACCCATTTCAGGCGAGAAACAATATCTTGCAATTTTTTCGGACAGAAATAGTATTCGAAATATTGAGGTTTTGGTGGGATAATTGAATTTGTACAAAACTATGATAATAATATCACCTGAACTAAACAACCACTGTATAGTGTTATCCTATAACTTTAAGATATTGCGTCGTGGCTATATTTAGTAACCTACTCATCCCATGTACATACAGGAGCGGCCGGCCGGCCGGCTATAAAAGTTAGATAGAGGGAGAAGAATATATCGGAGCGACAGATTATTATCAATTATGTGATGGATGATTAATTTGGATCTCAGTATAAACAAAGAACTTATCATATAAAAAAGTTACAATTATACTTTACACGATTATTATTGGTAAAAACGTTTGGTGACGGTTGACAAAATGAAATGCGGGGCTAATTCTTTCTATAATGAAAACGTTGGAAGCTGTTTCACGTGTTCCGATATCTGTGATAATTTAAAAGGAACTGGTAATTCCAAAGAATATTGTTTAAAACTCTGCCCAGGTAAGCCTAGGCCCCTCTATAGTACATTATTCATATTATTCTTAACGGAATATTACGGAATGCAAACGATGCGTTCAAAATAAGAATTCTTATGGTCAACAAAACACGAAAGTTCATTTGTTCTGATATTATTGAGCACAAGTTATATTATATATAAAATATATAATAAAGTATTTTTCAATCGTGTCAAAATCCAGCCATTAACGTGAATAAAAACAATGATCGTACCAATTGCAAAATTTGGACGTAAACGTAAATGAAATTTACGAAACGAAACATATGCTACAACATAATGACCGTGTATAGAATTTTGCATGTTAATTGGAAGTGTAGGGTTAATTGGATTAAGAATGAAATCGGTAACGCTTGAATTATAAAAATGATTGACATAGCTGATCCTCTTCCAACCTACACTTTCAAATTCTCAAAATTTTGCTTTATCTGAATTAAAAGAAAAAAATTAATCTTTTCAAGTATTCAAACTTAGTGTACCAATAAGGCATAAACATTAGAAATAACAATATTGCATTCACAGATCGTACACAAGAAATGCAGATTTTCATATCAATACAAACTACATGTATGAATGGTATATAATGTATATATATATATAGGCCTAGGCCTATAGAGAGAGAAATTAAATGAGTTTTACGTCCTTCAATACGTCTTTATTGGATGTTTTTATCACATGCTAAAATATATTGATACATTGATGAACATTGACATTGATTGATATATTAATTTTTTATCAAAACAATTTCATGGAGACAGTTAACCTTTATCTTAATCCATTTAAGATCATATACATGTAACCGAATTCTTCTTAGGATTTAAAGTGGACATTTCTATCTGTAGATTTAAACCTTTGAATATCAACATTAGGGCCTAACTGCAAATTTTGAATCTCTTGTCCCTGATAAATAGGACATTTTGTAGGAGTTGATCCTCTGAATAATCATACAATATTTCATTACTTTGTTAAACTATTACTTGCACGATCGACCATAGATAATATATAGGCCTATCCTATTACAGGATATCTATGATGTACACCACAGAAAAGGGTGTTGGTAAAGTATGTAATATATTCATGGTTGTTGTGAGGACTATTCCTCAAAAGAATGACGTAATTGTGATGAGAAACGTTTTATCGGATGAATACCCAAAGTAGCCTTTTTTGTAGATAAATTCTATATAAAAACTAAAAATAAAGTACATGTATAAAGAAAAGAATATTAGCTCACAGTGACTATTGTGGCTGCCAGCGGGTCAGGAGGAGTGGTACGATAATGCGCTGTGGATATAGTTGAACAAGAATCTGGTTTTTTAAATGTTTATATAATTAAAAGCATAAAACATAAGATGAATGAAAAGTTGAATTATTATACATCTGATAACTGTAGAAGTAGAGCATAGAGCGATTAACTGAAATATACAATATAAATATGGCTGTCAAAATAATGTATAAATCAATCAAAAGACTTACTACAAATGTCACAAATGTTGGATAACAAATGGAAACCATGGGAGTATAGGCTCATGTATATAAAATGTCAAGGGGTACTTAGACTAATATGGTTCCCAAATGAATCCTAATCTAAAAATATATCTGATAAATAAATAACTGACAAACAATAATAAACTACTTATTACATTCATAAAATAGCGGTTTACTTATGTCAACGCGAAGTAAATCAATAGTATAACGGGGACGTAACTCTTAATATGAAAAAAAAAAAAAGTTAATTGTGGTCTGACAAATGAAAATACCGCGCGGATTTTAGGTGAATACCCGGTCTGCAAATTATACACACCATATGACATAAATATATAAATACCGTATTATTAGACATTCCTGGCCCCTTTTACAATATTGATACAACAATCTGATAAAGTCTGAGAACTAACTGAAAACGGATAAGTTCAAACTGATAAAAAATGTTAATTTGAGAATTCTACATTCTGCCATGATGATTCATTTAAAAAATGGTTCAATTGTCACAATAAGAAACGAAAAGATAATATGATATACTAAATTTCAGGAATTAGCTTGTGTACTATTGTGAAAAAAACGAAATAAGTTTAAAACGTTCAATAAATGCTAAAATGGCCATAACAGTGACTTTTTAGGAATAGACAGTTACAAACAATAATTGGAGACAATGTGTTTTTAAAATTATTTATTTATATTTCGTTTCTTGAAAGTAACGTATTTTATGCACCATTATATATTTTTTGCCAATGACAGTCTTATTTAGAATTAAACCAATCTTTCGTTCCGTTGAAAATGTATTTCCCGTATTTCGAGGATTCAGTGTTCTAAATTATCCCAGTGTTATTCGATGTAAGTAGATGTCATCAGGCTAGGGCAAAGGTTATTGATACAAAGAAATAAGAGTCCTCAGACCCTAACTGGAGTGGATGAGTAAGAAAAATAAAAGCTACCGTTTTTCAATTTACATACCGGTACTTATATTATTAGTAAAACACGTAAAAATTGATGCGTATCATCATAGCTTGGAGTTTCTTTGATTTACTTTTGTTTGGTTTTAAGTAATGACCTTGACCTTTGGTGAACCTTTGGACAATATTAATTACAGATTGATAATTTCTTCCAAAAATCAAAGATACCTTGAACTTTTTGTGTATCTGCGACCGTTCGTTTATTTGACATCAAACATGTTTTTGTGTTCATTTTCTTACAGAATACAAGCCAACCTTTTCTCAGACAACGGAAGCTAATACTGGATCTCGTAAGTATTTTAGAATATTACATCATAAATCTTTGCCCCAAGGTTAACACTTCCGTGGCTTGAAACATTGGTTCGTTGACTGCGTGCTGAAGGTTACTAATAGGTACCGTGCTAAATTTAATCCGCGCTGAGGCGTTCTGCCACTGGGATGCGTGCACAAGATCTTTTGCATTTCATATCCACCCACGCCACCAAGTTTTTGTTGCCGGGTTAGCCATTTTTTTTTATACGCTAATAATTTTTCAAAACCATGAGTTTGCAATTATCATAGCAGGCTGACTATATATTATACACAAAATGCTTGCCAGACAAGGTAAAATATGCCCACTACCAACTGTCAGAAAGTATAACATATCTTAAAGGGATAGGTGTGCCATTTTGGGGGGTTGATTTTAGTCTTGAATATATGTAAATATTCTGCAGAAGTACTAGAAATGTACGATAGTTCCTTTAAAAAAACTTCAAACTATGAATTTTACTCACTATTTCTATAATGCCTTTTTATATATCACAGAGTATCTTATATTGAGGAGTCGTCATTTTAACATTCAAACGCAGATAAATCTGGACACATATGGATTTAAAGGTTCAAATTTCGATTGTGAGCTGTGCTCATCTAAAAAAAATACAGTTTCTAAGATTAAAGTATAGCCTATGATTTGTCAAAAAAAAATGGCCTACCTGTCCTTTAATATTGATAAGTCAATGCAAAACCTCGAAAACAGTTCATCAAATTATCAAATTAAAACATGAACAAGGCCTGATCGACGTACACACAATGGCAATAACTCTGAAAAAGTTATTGACCGAGATCTCATCAATATATTCAGGCATAGCCTACCAAGTTCCATCAATCGGATAAAAACTGTAAACTCTATCGTGCCTACAAGTCACAAAACGTTCATCTTATTTTTACCAATTGTCAACATGAGATGAATATTTGAATATGTGCATACCAAGTTTCATCAAGAAAGTATAAAAACTGTAGGTCACTATCGTGCCTAGATGCAAACTTTGGCGCGTTTTTACTAAGTCAAAGGCAATAACCCCGAAATCGTTCATCCGATTGAAATGTGGATGGACGGACCGACGGACAGGGCAATATATGTCCCCATTTCACTGACTTGCGGTCCGCCAACGTTGATCGTGAAATTATAGAGACTACAGTTTGTACACGTCTACATGAAAATGTGGTCGTATATTGCCGTCGCCTCTGTCCGTCGGTCCGTTCGTCCGTCAACATTTGTTGTGGGCACAATGGAGGCTACAGTCTTTATCCGATTTTAATGAAATTTGGTGTGATCATTAATATTCATGAGATCTTGGTCAAGTTCGAATTTTTCGGTGGACAGTTTTTGAGTTATCGCCCTTGACTCTGGAAAAAGATGTTAAAATTTGCCTGTGAACACAATAGGGACTACAGTTTTTATCTGATAATAGTTAATTTGGTATGATCATTTGTGTTGATGAGATCTTGGTTCGAATTTGACGGTGAACACAATAGAGACTATACAGTGTCCATTTGGTGTGATCGTTTATAATGATCAGATCTTGGACAAGTTCAAATTTGATGATTTCTCGATCAACGGAATTTGAGTTATTGCTCTTGGTAAACGCATCAAAATTTGTTAGCTTGTGAACGTGATAGAGGTGTGTGTTGTGTGAGCACTTATTATAAATCATATCCTGAAAATTTGCCAATAGCCTTTCTTAATATATTGCGACAATAGACTTTACAAAAGGTCCCGCCACACATTTTGTAAACGTTTCTTTTCTATGTTTGGAAAAATGCTAAAAATAATCATGTCTGCTTCTCTCCTTGAATATACTGACCAAAATATAATCCAATTTCATACACATCATAAAAATATTTGAAACACTGGATGCATTTTGCTTGAGTAATAAGAAGAGTGTTAATCAGTTCAAAATTTATACCAGAATAACTTGGTGAAAAATAGGAGTTACTTGCCATAAAAACCTAACAGACTACAAAGAGAGTAAGTAATTGTTCAACATAACTAGTGATTTGTATACAATAATTTCGCCTAATTCTGACGATAATTCTAGAATATTGGTAACACTTTTTTATCCTATGTATAATGAGAATGGGTATCTTGTAATGAAAATGCGAACGTCAAAACGCATCAAAAAACACATGAAATTTTGTGTGATCACACATTTGATATATTGGAAAAGTTTGCATTTGACTAAAACTTTTTGAGCTAGTACCCTTTATTTATAACATGATAAATTTATTCATGAGCAACAAAACTTAACAAAGCTGCTATGTGGACGTATGTTTATCTTACCCTGCCTAGCAAGCTATCTTTATCTGCTTTTAATTAAACTTGGCATGATCATTTATATTGATATATTGCTTTTATATATATAGGCGTCTCCCATGTCGGTCCATCCACAATTGCTCGTAAACACTCATGCAAAAATTTATACAGTTGAACCCTATTAAAAATGAAAATATTGAGAACTATTTTATAAGAGTTATTTATCTCAAACTAGAAACTCGTAAATACTTTAAGGCTTGAATTTTGTCGGATTTTGACAAAATAAGGTATTATTATTCAGTATAAACCCAAAAAGTTCAAAAGTGTGTGACTGAAGGTTGAATATTTCATTCTGTTACTGTGCTGCCAAATATTTATGTTTAAAATCAAAGCTGCCAGTGGGCGGGTATTACCTTTCCTGGCAATCTATCTTAGTTATTGCCCTTGACTTATGGAAAACGCATCAAAACTTGTAGAGACTACAGTCTCCATCTGATTTGGATAATTCATATTGATGATATCTTGGTCAATTGCGAATTTGACGATTTTTCGATGAACAGTTTTTGAGTTACTGCCCTTGACCTAGCAAAAAACGCGTCAAAATTTTTCATGAGCACTATTTAGAGACTACAGTTTTCATCTGAATTTAATGAAATTTGGTGGGATAATTTACATAGAAAAATGAAATGAAATTAATGAAGTTTTACATTTTTATACGCCCACATGAATTGGCGGAGTAATATATGTCCGTCCGTCGGTCCGTCTGCAATTGCTTGTGAACACTCCACATGGCACAATTCTTGACTGATTTTGGTAAAACATGGTATGGTTGTTTGTAATCACCCAAGGATGAACCCTATTGAAAATCAGAAAAATTGAAAAATATTTAGTATGAGTTATTGCCCTTAAACGTTCTAGAAAGTTCAATTATTTTCAGATGGTGATGAAACGTGGTGTGAGTGTTATCACCCAAGGGTGAACCTTATGGAAAATCAGAAAAATCGAAAAATAATTCGTATGAGCACTCTAGAAGGCACATTTCTTGACAGATTATGACGAAACTTGGTAATGTTATTATGTATGACTTAAGGTTGAATATTTCATACTGGTAATTGTTTCTGTACTGTCAAATATTTTTATTTAAAATCAAAGCTGCCAGTGGGCGTATATTACCTTGCCTGGCAAGCTATTGTATTCATTTATATTGATGAATGGTCAAGGTTGAATTTGAGTTATTGCCCTTTACTTTTAAAATAATTTGATGTTTTGGGGTTATTGATATTGCTTTTGAATAATGTCATAGAAAAACTCATGATAAATCACTGAAAGTAAATATCAATAAATTCAAACTACATATGCATTTTAAAGATCTTTAAAATGAGAAAATTCGTATTTTAGTCACGAAGACTGTATTGTTTTCAGATCATTTAGAAATCATCGTACCTGTAATTGTACTTTTGATATCAGCTTCCATTATTATTGGCGTTTTGATTTTAAAACATCGCCGTAAGAGAAACCCACAATATCACAATAGACGACGACAAAATTTGCCACGGGTTGATTATACCCCAGCTCCACCTCTCACACTGACTAAAGAAGAAGTGGGTGATGATGTTGAAGGACGAGAGTGTCTCGGGGATTCCGGAATAGATACCACCAGAATTGATATTACACTCAGGTCGACTGAACAAGATGGATATCAAATAAGCGGAAGTATACACCAGGAAACTCAAACTGTACTGAGTGATTTGTGTTGTAATTCTAAATATCTGAAGAATGGTAAGTTTTTGTTTTAAGAGGAACACTATTGAAAATCAGAAAAATTGAAAAATATCTAGTGTTAGGGTGTATTGAGACGAGTCTCAATGAAAGCACTGGCCTAGGTCACAGAGCTCTAGTATGAGTTATTGCCCTTGTTCTTGAAAACGCGTTCAATTTTTAGGTCATGTAGACACGCCTCAAGGCACTATTCTTGGCGAATTTTGATGAAACTTGGTGTGAGTGTTTGTAATCATATTAAGGATGAACCCTATTGAAAATCAGAAAAATCGAAAAATAATTAGTATGAATTTATGCCCACTCTAGAAGGCACAATTCTTAACAGATTTTGACGAAACTTGGTGTGAGTGTTCGCAATCCTTAAAGGATCTACTATATCGACAATCAAAAAAATCGATAAATATTTAAAATGAGTTATTGCCCTTGTTCTTGAAAACGCTTTCAATTTTTAGTTCGTAAACACTTAAAGGCAAGTTGAATATTACATACTGGTGATTGTTACTGTACTGCCAAATAAATATTTTTTTCTGCCATTCGGTGGTGTGTATTACCTTGCCTTGCCTGGCAAGCTTTCTTTTTCAATAATTGAATATTTTTTTTTCCATTTCAGCCTCCGATGCTAGTGGAGCCCAAGCATTATAGATAGCTGATATAATTGTAACGTCATCCGCCCGTCAGTTCACCCACGATTGCTCGTAAACACTTTAGAAGGCATAATTCTTGGTGGATTTTGTTATCAAAAGGATACTGTGATGAAAGTGGAAAAGGGTGAAGGTCGCGTATGCGCATTGCACAAATTTCAATATAGCCCTGCAATTCAGAACTTGTCTATTCGAAAACATAGAAGTTTGAAGAAATTTGGAAAAGAAATAAGATAAATGGTAATATGCGCTCGATTCGACTTTAATGTTTCTCTTATTTGTGCGTTCCCTTTAATTCAAAACTATACCGTTTTACTTTTAAAATCTATTCTTCCACATGTTTAGTTATATGAAATATCATTCCAAGTATCGTTTCATGGCATCGAAAAAACAAAAATGAAAACAAAGCAAAAAAAGAGTATATTTTCTCAATTAAGCAAACAAAGCAAGGGACGCCCTGCAAAAAAAAATAATAATTTAATTTTTTGTTTTGTTTTTTGTGGTTTATTTAATTCATAAGTTCTATTTGCCAAACTTCAGTATGGACGCTGGCTGAAATAGGTCAGTTTCTCCGAAGATCGTTCTACAATTGATGTATTGAACACCATTTTAACAGCGAAAATATTTTTTTATGGTATTTTTTAAAGTCTAAAGTTATACTTAGTTTAAAGTAGATTGTACAGATAATTTGAATATCGTTTATAAATAAGAATGAAAATAAATAATAATAATAATAAATTAGTTTATTCATTGTGTCACGAATCAGCTACATAAAATATAAAACGTATATTATATACAGTAATAAGATTCCCGGCCAAGATTGGCCTATGTGACACATACTGGTTAAAACATAGTTATTTACATATGAAATTTAGATATATCTTAGCTAAAGCAGTAATTCAATGAATTAAAACATGTTCTTAAACAAGAAGTATAACAAATTAAAATTTAGAAAAGTCTTTCGGTAAAACAATAATTGATAAATTAAAACCTATGAATGTATTAAGATGTGCAGTAATCTTGCTTTTAATGGAAGCCAGTCTGCCACTTGTAACACCCTATCATATATTTGTCATAAATATAATTTTTCCCGTTATAACATAAATTATATAGCGTGTAATATTTTCTACGCCAATCACGAGACTGCAGAATCAATTAGAGATATGACGTCATTGATAGAGTCAAAAGAACACAAAGTGGATTACTCTAACATAACATCTTTGTACATCGTAATTGAATTGATGTGAAGTTATTTATTGTATATATTGTCTAAAGTGTACCATGTTTTCTGAGAACGAATAAAATATATATTAATACTTTGTACATAATGTAAATTATATAGTTTGATGTAGGTCAGGATTTATTTTCCAACTAATGATATCATTATTATTATCAATTAAAGAAAAATAGTAGATTTTGCATGAATTTTTTCATTATTTCATAACTATATTAAGTGTATTGTTTAAATTTAATAAGTAGGCTATACATGAAAAAAGCTGTGCATTTAATTTTACAAAGCCAGTCGTCCACCTAAATTAGTGATTTTATTTTTACAAATTTTAAATCGCATTTATAAATTTTAAAATACGTTTCAATAGTTGAGCCTCTTTGCTTAAGTCAGAGCATATGGTGAAGATGGTGCAGACGCCTGCTATGCGTTAATGGTGAGATATTCCTCACTCTTTTAATAGATTTTCTCTATGTACAATAAAAATTAGTCAGTAGTTTTGTGAGAAAATTCAAGTAGTTGACACCCATATAAAAGATACAATAGACACCTGATAGAACAGATGCTGACCAGATGCGAACCAATCAGGTTCTAGAGTTGTCAGTAAATAATCAAGGCACTTCAAAATATTAAAGGATTTATTATACACTTGATGCTATCAGTATCCCCGATAAACTAACAACTGATCAAATCGACTGCAGCAGATTCCACAGTATGGCCATGTGATTTAAGCTGTAAAATCTGGAGTAAAACTATGGATAGCCAAAACCATTACCAAAGTGTTCTATAAACACATTTTTTTTCAAGATGTACACTGATAAAAGAGGCAGACTTTAAATTATACATCATTTCCCAGCTTTGTGAACTTTCAGCAATGTAGAAATCTCTGAACTACTCCATATCTACCAGTTGTAATGAGATGGATGAAAGGTTATAAAACAGGATTTTGTAAGATCTGTAAGGAAACTTAAGACTCCATGCAGCTAGCTTAAGCTCGTGTCATTTTCTACTACAACTACAATGCAGGTATTATCACATCATGAACAGTTACACATGACAGTCATGTGGCTATTTACCACTGGCGTGGTAAGCATGGTAAATATCCATAGTACCCTTTCGAGAAAAATTGCTTAAAGCTACCTAAATATTCAATAGAACGATTTTGCATTTAAAACCTAATCATGTTCATCAAAAAGTCCATTTTTGAAAAAAAAGTCGTGTTTATTTACAAACAAGGCCGACTGTAAAGACAAGGCTGAAGGCTTCTCAATTCAAACCAATCTAAAAAAGCTCCGCGTTGTATGAAATTTAGTGTTTACCTGTTCTTTCGGCAATAGATATTAATTAGTCAAAATTTATTTTTAACCTTGTTAAAGTGATACTACGTCTTAGAATGAATATAAAATTTAATTATCAAGAATGGTCAATATGAGTATATATGCTTCAGTGAACTTACCTGGTGCCATAAAGTTACAACAGAATCCCTGTAATATCTAGAAAATTGGAAAATTCATAAAACTAAGTAATTACTGAAAAACGCTTAATCATAATATAAGGCGTTTTTCAATAGCTTTTTGGATTTATCGGATTATATAAGGATCCTGTTATGTTATAATGACACCAGGTATATCTACTGATGAAAATATGTTCTAAATGGCCTAGTTTAAAATTTTTATTTTCAGGACTAATCTTCCCCAAACGGTCGTAATAGTTCTTTGTTTGAGAATAGTTTTTGAAAAAAATTTGTCTTCTAATATTACTGCGTTTTTATAAGTAACTACAGTGGCGTATTTAGAGGGTAGTGCCCTCTAAAAGCCAAAAATGGGTTAAAGGTGCCCCTCACCCCGCCAATGAAATCTTGGCTACGCCACTGAGTTCCACAAAAATTGTAATGTTAGGCCGGTCCTATGGGTGTTAGGGTGATATGAGAATAAAAAATCTCACAAAAGCGCGTACGCCCCTGTATATTTTCGGCCTTTTTCATGTTCGCCCCGAGTTCGTTCGCCCTGGGTCCATTCGCTCCACAATATTTTGCAACACAATAATCCATAATCCACAAGGTTTTGGCAAAATATGTGTTATATTGTCAAACTTGGTCACTTATAAATTTATAAAGGATCCGTCCGCTATCATGTGAGTAAAAAAACTGACTTGTTAGTCGTTCACTCAAACATTTTCCAATTTGTCATCCAGAAACATGTTGTTTCTCCAAACGATTCTTAAAGTGTTCAGAATTTACATGAACTTTGAAACAAAGAAATAAATTAAGTAAAAACTTCAAAAATTCCTTAAAATTCTCAGGAAAGTGGAAACATGGCCCAATTTTCAACTCGATTCATGCAGCATGGAACAATTTTATTTCGACCAGGACAAATAATTATTTGACGGTTACGCCAATTTTTTGACCAATTATACTTTAGTCTCAGAAACGGGATTTTTTTAGCTGAGCCAATCAGTAATAGTGTTCACAGTTCACCGTCAAAATTTGAGCCTTAGAATTCACGTGTGTCCAAAATTTTCCATGTTTTACTGTAGTATGTTGTAGAGGTCAGTAAGAATAGAGATATTGAAAGTGTTTGACTGTAGTATGTAGTAGAGGTCAGTAATTATACAGATATTGACAGTGTTTGACTGTAGTATGTAGTAGAGTTTAATAATGATACAGATATTTACAGTGTTTGACTGTAGTATGTAGTGGAGGTCAGTAATGATACAGATATTCATAGTGTTTGACTGTAGTATGTAGTCTAGGTGAGTAATGATACATATATTGGTAGTGTTTGTTTGTAGTATGTAGTCTAGGTCAGTAATGATACAGATATTGATAGTGTTTGACTGTAGTTTGTAGTCTTGGTCAGTAATGATACAGATATTGATAGTGTTTGACTGTAGTATGTAGTCTTGGTCAGTAATGATACAAATATTGATAGTGTTTGACTGTAGTATATAGTCAAAGTCGGTATAATTATACAGATATTGATAGTGTTTGACTGTAGTATGTAGTCTAGGCCAGTAATTATACAGATATTGATAGTGTTTGACTGTAGTATGTAGTTTAGGTCAGTAATTATGCAGATATTGATAGAGTTTGACGGTAGTATGTAGTCTAGGTCAGTAATTATGTAGATATTGATAGTGGCTGACTGTAGTGTGTAGTCTAGGTCAGTAATTATACAGATATTGATAGTGTTTGACTGTAGTATAAGTCAAAGTCAGTATAATTATACAGATATTGACAGTGTTTGACTGTAGTATGTAGTCTAGGTCAGTAATGATACATATATTGATAGTGTTTGACTGTAGTATGTAGTCTAGGTCAGTAATTATACAGATATTGATAGTGTTTGACTGTAGTATGTAGTCTAGGTCAGTAATTATACAGATATTGATAGTGTTTGACTGTAGTGTGTAGTCTTGGTCAGTAATTATACAGATATTGATAGTGTTTGACTGTAGTATGTAGTCTAGGCCTGTAATTATACAGATATTGATAGTCTTTGACTGTAGTATGTAGTCTAGGTCGGTAATTATACAGATATTGGTAGTGTTTGTAGTATGTAGTCTAGGTCAGTAATTATGCAGATATTGATAGAGTTTGACGGTAGTATGTAGTCTAGGTCAGTAATTATGTAGATATTGATAATGTTTGACTGTAGTATAAGTCAAAGTCGGTATAATTATACAGATATTGATAGTGTTTGACTGTAGTATGTAGTCTAGGCCAGTAATTATACAGATATTGATAGTGTTTGACTGTAGTGTGTGGTCTAGGTCAGTAATTATACAGATATTGATAGTGTTTGACTGTAGTATGTAGTCTAGGCCAGTAATTATACAGATATTGATAGTGTTTGACTGTAGTGTGTAGTCTTGGTCAGTAATTATACAGATATTGATAGTGTTTGACTGTAGTATGTAGTCTAGGCCTGTAATTATACAGATATTGATAGTGTTTGACTGTAGTATGTAGTCTAGGTCAGTAATTATACAGATATTGATAGTATTTGACTGTAGTATGTAGTCTAGGCCAGTAATTATATAGATATTGATAGTGTTTGACTGTAGTATGTAGTCTAGGTCAGTAATTATGCAGATATTGATAGAGTTTGGAGGTAGTATGTAGTCTAGGTCAGTAATTATGTAGATATTGATAGTGTTTGACTGTAGTATGTAGTCTAGGTCAGTAATT